TAATTTAGAAATTATCATTACACGGAAAAAATGAATTCAGTAGATTTTACAGAACTATCACGGAGTAGCGGATACAGCTCTTTACGAAACTGAGTGTTGTAAAATGTCACGAAATATTCAGGATAAACTCCAGAAATATTCAGCATAAACAACGAAAGTTCTGTAGTTTATCCGAAAATATCCATCACATTTTACAAAACTCAGTTTCGTAAAGAGCTGTATCCGCTACTCCGTCACAGTTTTGTAAAATATACTGAATTAATTTTTTCCGTGTACCAGTCAAATTTCTCAATTTTCAACGCATTGTTTTCCACAGTGTCGCATTAAACAATTAAAATTTTGGTCATTATCATTTCTACTACAAGGTGTTTATTGTTAAAAGAGTGTGAATAATGACCATGAAATTGTGCGCTCGAATACTAATAACTATACTGACTAACATTGTTAAACAATGTAGTGCTTTGAAAAAATCGAGATAAACAAAAGAAGTTCAAATTCGAGAAAACTAATTTGAATAAATTGTCAATATAGGGATTAATGTCAAACGACATATAAATAAGGAGAGCAAAAAAAAGGGGAATGAGAAAAAAAGTACAAAAATTGGAGAATGAGTGTGCGCGTGGACTATTACACAATTGTTTGAAACTTGCATATATATATATATAGGAATAATTATTGTTGTTATGCACAGAATAAAAGGAATTTTAATATACACGCACAGAATTATTTCGGATTATGAGATCGAGACACAACGCTGATTCATTCTGTGCGCGCAGAGCTATCTTAAGTATATATGGAAGAAACTGAGGGCAATAAATTCATTTCATCAACAGCTCAGGGTTAAATGCCCTTTGCACTATATATATTATAAAAAAAAGAACGTATATAATAAAATGAGTCGTAAAAAGTGTAAAATGCACATTAAAAAAGATTACTGAAACAAGCACACTCGTCTGGAAAATGTGAAAGCCCAGACATTGAGTCTATATAGATGATGGTGATGTAGAAAAAAGAGAAACTCTCAGAGAAATTCGCAAGGCTAATTAGTTGTTTAGTTCGTTAAAAAAAAAAATAAAAAAAAAAAAACTTAGGCATTAGTATTTTTACAACCCAAACTATACAATTCCTTTGTTAAACACAAGTTTTCTTTTCAAAAGTAAATTTACGCATTTTTAAGTGAGACATAAAATTTACATTGTATTATAGAACAAAAAGTTCATTACACAAGTTATTTAATGTATCACCCTTATATAATATTTAATTTATTAATTACTATATCATTTGAAAATTGAGAAAAAATAGTAGTTTTCTGTTCATAAAATAATTATTTTCTTTCGGTATTTATTATTGAATAAACAAAAAAAAAAGTGACTTATGAATAAAGTTCTAAAATTTATTTGTTAGAATTTTCATTTAATAGAATTTCATTATAATTATACACGGAAAAAAATCTTTATCTAAAACAACGATAAATTTCATTGGAACAGAGAAACGTTTCACTAAAACAGCGAAAGTTTTCGCTGTTCTAGATAAACATATAGCTGTTCCAGATAAAGACTTTTTTTAAATTCAACATGTTTTTTTTATAATTACACTACTATTACATTATATATTTAAAATTACAGCTATTTTTGAAAGTTCAAAATATTATAATGGCGTATAAAAAAAAAAGAAAAGACAATAAACCATGTAATTTTTTCAGTCGCAGACTTGAAAAAAGATGATAATGTCCAATGTTATGGAAAAAAAAACAAAAGAGAAAATTTTCCCAAGTGATTATTTTTAGGATGCACTGATGAACAGTCATGAATAAATTGTGTGACAATGAGCGATCTAATGCCATTATTTTCCACGTTAACATAACCTTTGAACCACAACGGCATTCATACATATATATGATGCACTATTTATTTTACGATAATTTTCCAGTATTAGATAATAATGTCTCAAATCTATTGTTTTATAATTTGATTATAGTAAATAATTTTAAATACTATCAAAAATAAATATAGAATACACTATATAAATAATTGTCATTGAGCCAAAAGTTTTGAACATTCAAATGAACAAAATATTTTTTTCAATCTATAAATTATTAAAAATTATAACGGCAATGTAAAATGAAACAATTATTAAATTAATAACTTCTTTTTAGGTATTTAAAACAATATTTTGTAATAAAATTCATACTTAAAGAAGTTGCGAAAAAAATATTGTTCATTTGAACATTCAAAACTTTTGGCTCATAATTGTCAAAGTAATTTAATAATCTAAAACAGTGCAACGAGAATAATTGTGATAAGTAGGTTTAGAAAAGCTTCACCCTATATATATATTTATATAAATTGAGATAATTGATTCAATTAACTGCGACTTCAAACCAACGAATGAAATCAAAATGAACTACACATTCTATAACACTGGTTTTTATAGATTTCATTTGCAATAGAAAATATCTCTCGATAGTTGAACAAAAATCGAATTTTTAAATTAGAAAATAAGAAAAACATGAATTTCACTTACAAAAGCATCTAAAGCAATATTTATTTTATGAAAATTACCTTATATTATTGTTTCACATATTTTGTACAATTTACTTTACTGTAATATACACTTGCAAAGCATTTATATTTATTGTAAATGTTTGCAGCTGTCATATATGAATTAGAAACGAACATAACCTATATTGAGTTGAAATCACCTGATTGGCCCAGGGAAAAATTTGCCCGCACTTATTTGAAATAATTAAATATTTAATAAAATAATTGTAATAAATTGAAAATTAAATTGAATGAACAAAGAATAGAAGTATCGGAGACGGCCAAAAAAAAATTATTTGATTCCTAATAATCGATTACTTAACTATTATCAAATAAATATTTACTTGAACCGCAAATAATTTTTATTTCAATTAAATAAATTGTATTCAAATCAATAATTTTTCTTATTGAAATAAAATATAAAAAAAATTATTCAAAATTAATTAAAATTGAATGAATTAAATTTAAAATGAAAATTTTATTCAGAAAATAATTTTAAATTGTTTAATTAATCTAATTTTACATTCTCATCATCATATATGAGAAAGTATTTCATTCAAATTTTAATTAATATACGATTAAAATTACTTTAATTGAGTCTTCGATTAACCCCTATTTAATACTTAATTATATTTATATTGCTGAAATTGAATTATTTTTCGTAGATTTTTTTTTAATTTCAATAAATGAATAAATAAAAAAAAATAGTGAAAGATTATCTAAACACACATCGAAGGAGATTCAATTAAAAATATATTACACCAATGGTAACACTTCCGTTGAAAGCAGGAGACGATCTGATTAATGGGTAGATTAATGGGTTTTTACTTTAGTCGATTAAGCCGTTTAAAGAGATAATCTTATCAGACGACAAATTGTGCTTTTAGAAATGACCTTGCAAGAAAAATCAAACACATTATTAAGTTTCAGGATGTTCTTTGCAATTTTATTATTTTTAATCATATTTTTTCATATATACTTCTTTTTTTCTTTATTTAAGATAAACCAAGTGTGGCTCAAGATCAAGTAACTATTTATAGCGTAGCACATGGTGTGTACAAACTCTCTATACAACAAGAGAAAGAAAATTGAATACCGAATTTTGATTAAAACGTTTCGAAATTCTTAATACACTTGTGTGATGTTATAAATTTTTTTTTTTTTAATTTTGTCAACTATAATTTGATGACATCTTGAAATTTATGTTTCTCAATGTTGGCAGAGAAACTTAATTAAAGATGAAAATAATTTATATATAAATCATCGTCAACATTATCTGTTAGAATATTGTTAAACCTCTGTTAATAAAACTATATGGACAAGAGAAATCAAAATCAATCGTCATCAATGATTCACTATTATGGTGCAAAAATTATATCTATATAAACGATAAACGACATTAAATACGTTTTACAGTTAATGCTATCAACCTCGAGATTTTCTTTTTTTTTCACATTTTGCAATATAATATTGTGCAAGAGAATTTTTTCTCATATTATATTGTCTTTTAGCATTTCATCAAAATTCTTTAGTCAGTCAATTATATGCTAGAACAATCAAGAAATATATGAAAAAAAAATATTGCAATTATCTGAAATTTTTCACTTTTATAAAAGCTTATAAATTCATTTATGTACTTCAATCAAAATTTCTCATTAAAGTTGTTTATTTGAAAGTTGTAAGTTTTCATTTTTATAAACACAACAATTTTTATATAAACATGTTTTTCTTAATTTGAAGTTGAAAAGAAAATTAAATTAATCTTTCAGCTATACTATACTCCAAACAAAATAAAGGTTAAGTTTGATAGAATTAAAAAAAAAAAATTAATGAAGTATAGTTTTGTGACCCATAGTGTAAAAAAAATTAATATTTCACAAGTGACATTTCATTTTTTGTTATTTATATGAATTTTAAAAATGTTCATTGAAAAATGAAAAAAATAAAAATGTATCTCTCTTATATTATATACAAATAAAATATTTTTGTTTATTCGTCAGCTATCTGACCATCGAATTTAAAGTTCAGAATTGTGGCTTTTCCAAGTATTCAATAAATAATAAGGTAAAAACAGACATGTATCTGTGTGTATATATATATATATATATAGATAATTGAAATAATCTAAACCCGTTTATATACGAGAACAATGCCAGCGATATGGATTTTATCATTGCAAAATGACGTATTATTCTCTTTTCGTAAAATTATAGAAAGTATAATAAAAAGCAAAATAATGATAATCTGAAAGAAAAACGACAATTCAAAAGATTTTAGAAACATGAAAAGACGCTCAATTTAGGGTTTTCTTTTTTGACCTGGCAAGAAGGAGAAACCTCTCGAAAACCCTTGTGAAATGTCGTTTTCAGAAAAGTGGGAAACCACAGCGCATGAATATTGACTTGTATATCTGGTTTTTAAATGATCATCCAACTCAAAGAAATATGTATTTCGACTTACCAAAAAGTGGTTCCTCTTTATAACTGGATTAACACGCACTCACTAATAAATTCGACACTGAAAAACCGAACACTTTTTGTTCGATAGGGAGGAAACAGTGGACGACACAGACAATCGGCTGTTCTTGATGCACGACAAAAGGGGAGAAACGCGACTGCCAACAGTTGTCTGAAGTCAGCTGCAAACAAACAACAAAAATCGATCAGAACAAGATGGCCGCTTGTTTCGATTTTTCTAGAAAAAATTTGCGGTAATTTTCAAATTCTCTAAATATTTGTCTTACAATTATGTAACAAATAATGTGATTTAAATGAGAATTGATTTTATATTTATTCTATATTAATACAGTTATTTTTCAAAGTAAATTTTTAAAAATGAGTTTTAATCTTATATGATATAATCACATAACTTCAACAAATTATTTATTGTTTCTTTATAAGAAAAAATAATTAGTCTAAATTTAAAGAATAAAGTAACGAAATATAAATTACAATACTTACAATAAATTATTTTGTAGGTATATTTAAGTAATACTTTAGTGTTTTTGGAGCAAAATTATATGTATAGAATCTAATGGAATTTTTTGTTGTGGACACATAATAAATTAATTCTATTGGTTGAACTTTGAGGTATCATGTCAGATTAGGTTAGAAATTTAGCATCAACGGAATATTGTAAATATTGTAATTTTTCGTCATGGATTATTTTCTATGCTATTAAAAACAGTTTAAAACTATCATGTTAGTAATTATATATATGATTGAATTACGAATTACTATTTATTCTTTATTTAAAATTAATTAAAAGAACAAAATGAGTAGAGAAGTTTTGCAACTGTATAAAAATTTACTGCGTTACAGGCAAAACTTGAAGTATACTGATAAAGATTATTTTACATCTCGAATTAAAAAAATTTTTCGACAAAATCAATGTCTAGGTGATGAAAAAATTGTCAAGTTTCAAATTCAGGTAATTAAAATTAATTTCTTTTTTAAAAATTGTTACTGACATATATCTAACCTCAAATGACTGTTCTGTTTAAATTTTTATTTAATTTGATATTGGTTCAACATTTACTTTTGAATTGTTATTAATTATATATTTAAAAATGTATACTAAATGATAAAATAATACATTTTATTTATTATATGTTCTTTAAAATTGTTTTGCTTTTTTCAGAAAGGACACGCTTTTTTAAAAAATAAGAGAGTCGTGTAAAAAAAAATGTTTTTGAAACTATTAGATCTAGGAAAAATTGTATCACGCAATTTAATATTATCAAATGAATTTTTAGTACATTATCCAAAATATGTGAATTTCATTCAATATCGTTTTAAATCTTTTAAAAAATCATTGGATTATTCAAAAGTGCCAGTTCTTGACGAAAAAGATCTCGAAGAACAATTTGTACTAGGAAGTGGTCCAGGTGGACAATGTATAAATAGAACAGCAAGTTGTGTTGTATTAAAACACAAACCAACTGGTATAGTTGTTAAAAATCAAGAAACAAGAAGTTTACACCAAAATCAAAAGTTAGCTCGAAAAATTATGTTACAAAGATTAGATAATTTTTTCAACAAAGAAGATTCTATTGATAGTCAAACAAATGTTTTAATGAAGGAAATAATTTTAGCACGAAAAAGAAAAAAAAAAAAATGGGCAGAATTAAAGAAAAATTTCAAAGAGCGAGAAGGATTAACTTGAAATGAAAAAAAAAAAGTTTAATATGTATATATAATTATCATTACAATAAAAAAAAAACTTACCAAACTTGAATTTCAAGATTCTTTATTTTAAACCTTTAAATAATTTAAACTATTTTTAAAATGAAACCAATTCCACAAATTTCTAAATTAGAAAAAATTAGCCAATTTATTAAATATGTAAATTGAGTAAATTTTGTAATTAACTAATTAAAAAAAAGTGAAAAACACAAAAAAGGATAATAAACAATAAAAACGATTATATTTATGGAAAATTCGTATTCTTTTTAATAATAATTTCTCTTTCAAACTCATGAGACTTACAGCTTCTTTTGTTTCAAATAAGATAGTCATCAGGTAATTCCTTACATGGATTTAAAATAGAATATTACATACAAATACATTATGTGTACTAAAACGAAAAAAATATATTCATTGTAAAGCTGAATGCAGTCTTGCGTATCTAAAAAAAATCTTTCAACAAACAAAAAAAAAAAACGTTTCTTTAAATAATAAAAAAAAAAAAAAAAAAAAAAAAAACTTAATAATAATCTCAAACGCCGAAGACTATCTACTTTAAAATCCATGTATACTACACATTAAACAAAAAAACTTATAAAGTATTCTTTTTTTTTACACAGGTGATCACGTTACTAATTATTATTTTTATAGAAAGATTATTTATAACATATTTTTTCCAAATTTCGAAAAAAGAAAGCTATTAGAATTTATAAATAATAATAATAATAATAATAATAATAATACAAAAAAAAAACAATTGGTCACGTGAATACCCAGATATCGTCATTATGACAGAATAAGACGACAAAGAAAAAAAAATACAAGAAAAACAAAAGAGAGAGAGAGAGAGAGAGAGAGAGAGAGAGTTGAAAGAACGCGAAGACCGCATCTATAAAGAATGTACAGTTTGGCGATTTTAATCTACACCGCCCTCAAGGATCTATAATTATAATCAATTGTAATTATACAGAAGAGAGCAAAATCGATCATCATTCAATCATTCAAATTTTTTTTTTTAACATTTCGATTAGAAAATAATTTTTATTATCAAATAAAAAAAAAATATTCACAACCAATGCCATCAATATAAACAATTAATATTAATTATCTATAGTAATATTAATAATTAATATATAATTAATTTTTTTAGATAATTGCACCAATTATAATATTAATAAATAATATTACATAATAATAAATGTTTAAAGTGATAGCATCAATTATTGGCACTACAGTTAATTATCAGAAGCATTATTAAACAAATTCGAAAAATTATTTTCACAAATAAATTAATTGCATGCATTTTTTTTTTTACAAAACAAATATTTTTCGTTTTACGTTATGTTAAAATAAACTTCTTCAAATATTTAACATTTTTCGTGTGCCAATAACTGGATTAGAAATGTATTTTACTAATTGAAAATTTTAATTATTAATATTAATATTGACAGTTAATTATAATTATTAATATTGATAATTTCAATTATTTAATATTAATATTTACAGTATATTGTTAATTATGAATTGATCATTTTTAACAACTAGAAATAAGTAGCAAAAGAAATATCAATATTAATTTTCAATATTAATTACTATTTTAATTATTGTTTTTTTTTTAATTATTATTAACTGACAATATCAAAAATTATATACACTGTTATTGAATAGATTTTGTCCACTAAATGAAAAGCATTACAAAATGTTCTTTATTTTTATAATAAGTATGGAAAATTAAAAAAAAAAATTGTATTTTAGAAATTATATTCTCTATTTTTTCTATTAAAAAAAAAAATTAAGAAAATTGTTTTTTACTATTTAATTACTTCAAAGAATAAACAAAATACGAAATTTTGTTTGTAAATTTCAAAACTGATATTTTGAAAAGAATTATTTTTATATAAAATGGTAAATTTTGTTTATTCTTAAAAGTAATTAAATAATAAAGAATTTTTCTCTTAAATTGTTTTTTAAATAGTATAAAAGGATGTAAGTTTTAATAAGTTTTTCAACTTTTCTATTTTTACTAGAAACAAAAATAAAATTCTTTTGTAATGCCTTCAAAGCAGAATCGGAGAAACAATTGAAAGAAAAATTAGTCCAACTCATTATTTTCGAATTTCTAAATAAAATAAAACAAAAAGTATTTCCGTGCAAGGGTAAACAATTTAATTTTTAACATTTTAAATTGTTAAAATTTGAATTTTAATAAAAAATTACTATTTCTTGTCAATAGGACATACGATTTTGGCAACAGAACCTAAAATTTAAAAATCGTTTTCCATAGTAAGAAATTTTGTAATCATTATCAAAATTCATTTTTAATACAATTTAAAATGTTAAAAATAAAATTGTTCATATTATCACTAAAGGAACTAATTTTTTTTTTTTTTTTTTTTTAAGTACGAAAATGTGAAGTTTAACTACATTCGGATTTTATCATTAATTTCTTTAGTGTGGGCAAAAATTATTGAGTGACAGTGAAATGATATCAACAAATCATATTTAATTATTATTTATCAAAAGTGTAATTAAAAAAGTGATTTTATAAAAATCACTTTTCAAAAATTGGTTTAAGTTTTGCTCTCGCTGTAAAATTATAATAGTATATTACTAAAAACTATGGTGTCAGCGGTATTAAATACTAACGATACACAAATACCATTTTGTACAGAATGTACACGTGCGGACGATCCGGAACAATATTATATTGGAGTCAGTCGAGAGGGGGTTTTAAGGAGAAGAAGGTGGATGATGATGATGATGATTAAATGTTTCCGAGATCGTACCGAGGTTGTACACTTTGTTTATAAAATCCTCAACTACTTTTCAACCATCGACTAAAATGTCCCCGACCACTTTTAAAACGTTTCTTCGGTGGTTGACTACTACTGCTACTTGATTTTGATGAGCCGGAACTTCTTAATCGTCGATTACTCGCAACGGCCACTGAAAGAATACTGTGGTCACGATCAACTTGATCCTCGATCTTCATCACTCTAACAACGGGTTGAAACTCGATGCTCGAACGCCTATTTTGTAAATCGGTTGGCGTCGCGACCGGCGAGTTGACCCGTTCCGAGAGTGGACAATCGAGTATGTCACCATTTTCCGACGAGAGGCCACCTCTCACCCTCCTCAAACGTGTTCTCGATGAAATATTTACAAATGTATTATTCTGTTTACAATTCTCGTCCTCGAGAATTATTGACGACGAGGACGTTGTTGTTCTTATACCACCTGATGATCGACTATTATTTGATCGTATTGTCGATCTTTGTCGTGCTTTGCATTTTGTTTTAAAATTAATAACACGCGTCTCTGACGACGAACCACCAGGCGTACGACGACAATTTCGATTGCGTCTAATCGATTTTGTCATATTACGCTTTCGAGGTGAGACAACAACAACGTTATTTTTCATTAATCTCTTTGCGAGACTTTCTCTGTCGGATGATGATGAGGTTGAGAGGTGGTGACGTTTTTTATTTCCTATTTTTAAATTCTCGTCATTTCCCGCTGTATTCTCGGATAGTTGCGAGGAATCGCTTGTTGTATTTTTCACAGTATCAGAGCTAGAATCCTTCTTTTTTGATGATGAATCCCTCTTGTTGATTTCCTCCTTTTCGGTTAATGTCTCTTTTTTATTTAGACAATCACCTCTCGATGAAGATTCATTATCATCTTCATCATTATAATTATCATCATCATCATCATCATCGTCTTCATCTGTTAAAGTTTTTTCACTTTCTTTCAATTCCTCATCGCATTGTTGTGATATTTCTTTTTCATTAGAAGTATTCTCAGAATCTTCACAAGTTTCACTATTATTACTTTTCAATGATTCTTCAGTATCAGAGAATTCTTTTTCCTTGAGAGACTTTGCGGATTTAGAATCTTCAGAGCTCTGATTTTCCAATTTTTCTTTATCTTTCAATTCTTCAGAATGTTGACTTCTTCTATCGGGACTGTCTATCGAACGATTTCTTTTTTCTTCGTTATTTTCATATGAACATAATTCGGATGATTTGATGATATGATGATTATTATCGGGATATTCATTTTCAATCACTGATGATTCAAGTCTTTCGCAAATATCTTCTTTCAATGCAGGAAGTTCGGTTGATTCTAATTTTTTCTCAGCTTCAAATGCTGACAATTGTTTGCTATGTAATTTTCGACGTAATTTATTTCCTGGCCAGCCTGTTCGATTTTTCCTTCGTTTACGACGTTTTAATGGCGATTCACCATTACCATCGCCACAATCAGAACTTGCACATGACGAATTTTCGAGGCAGGGCACGAGATCGTGGCAATTTTCGAGTAATTCCAATAAATTCACTGGTGCACCTTTTGGTAATTGGGTTTCCTCCACGGTTGTTTCCTCGACATTTGAGAGGAAATCCTCTTCAAACGGATTGCTATCGTCCTATAGAAAATGAAATATTTACTTATTATTCATTCGACAAAAAAATCTTAATTAACATTAAATATATTTTCACATTTTATTAAAACCTAATTTTTTTTTAATGACTAAAGAAAAATTGGACAAATAATCGGAACAAATGTCAGACGAACACAATTTTTTCATATTTTTAAATATGAGTAAGTATCTACTATTAGGAAATTTTCATTTGTCAGAACTTTTATTTCCTCGAACAAATAATTGGCAGATACATTTCGGGGTAAATTTTAAAATTAACAAATTAGAAAATATCAAGAACTTTGTGATTGGTTAATATTAAAATTCGCGCTTAAATATTTCTATACTGCATGTTTATTTGGACAAAGAAATGTTTTGATGACAAATAAGATTTCGATATTTTGAGAATTCGGTCAAATGACAATTTAGGTATTTATACTATAAAAATTTGAATGAAATGAAAATGAGATTAAATAAAAAATTTGGTTAATTACAAAAATTCTGTTAAATGAAAATTAAAATCATTAACAATAACTAACTTCTGTAATTTTAATAACAATTAAATAAATATTATTATTATGCAAATTATAATTATTCTTCGTTATAATTTTAAAAAATTTGATTAGACGATTTGAAAAAATATTTAACTAATAAATTAATAAATAAAAAAGAAAAATTGTTGAAATTAATTTTTTATTAATGTAGAATGGCCTCAGGTAAATTTAAGTTTAATAAAAATTCGCCAAAAAAAAAAAATGGTAAATAAAAAATTACAAAAGATTGATTAACAATATATTATTTTAAAATTTGTCCATTTTCTTCATTCTTACCTGCAAATCATTCGCAGACAGCATCTCATCAATATTTTTTGCAATTTCTTTGAGATCTTCGTCAACGTCTGACTTGGATTTGATTTCCTGTTTTGAACTTGTCTCTAATTTTCCAGCATTATTTTCTTCATCAATAACAGTTAAAGTTGGAGTATGCTGTTGTTGTTGTTCGCGTTTCCTGATAATTGTTGACATAATCGCCAATGTAGAAGCATGGCACCTTGGACTTTTTCTTGGCGATCGTCCAACAAACGAACCACGTCCTCGACTTTTCCTTCTACCATCCATCTTTTGTAACCTTTTCATTAGTGTCTCATGAAAATTTTCAATCTCATACGGTAATAAAAATGGTTTCGATTCATTTGATTCACTAAAATAATGCCAATATTCCTCGCCCTCATCCTGACGTTGATACGTTTGATACCAGGGTTCAGATTTTGGTATTGCCTCAAAGGAAAATTGCATTCTCTCAATTTCCGGCGATGGTTTCGATGGTAATAATCTGTCAACTGTTACATCATGCTCTTTACATTGAATCTCATCCTTTTCATTTTTTCCTATTTCAATACCGGTGAGTGGAGCTTGATATCTCAATCGACTGCCAGGTGTTTCGAATTTATAATAATCAACATTATCCATTATTAATGCTTCGGCTTGTGTACGTCTCTTTTTTTTTGAACGTCCAACATTGCTCAAATCTTGAGAATCATCACCGCACACACCACCTTCCTGTTTCACTAGATCTGAACTATTTTCCATTGAACTAAGATTCACCGAATTCAAAGTATTTTCACGATCACTTTCACTGTCTTTTGGTAAAACACTACTTTGTTCATTCTCACTCGCTTCACTGGAATCATCTCGTCTTGTTTCACCAAACATAAATGATTCCGCTTCATCGCTGAGCAATGAAAGTTCCGATTTTCGTACACGTTTAAATCGCACAACAACGGGTTTTTCACTCGATGGACCCTCATCATTTTTTTCTTCTTCGCAAACAATTTTCTCAACAATCACTGGCGGTGGCAAAGCAGCTGGAATAACACTTGATCGTAACTTACTGCCAAGTACCTCGACTTTATAATAAGCACGATTATCCTCAATCAATCTTTCTTCAACCGACAATCTTTGACGACCCTTGTAACTTCTTCCACCACGTCGGCTAAATCTTATACTCCTTGGTTTTTCATCTTTTTCCTCCTGTGCCTTAAAACCGCGACATTCTTTTTCCTCCTCTTCTTCTTCTCCTTCATAATCATTATTATCATTATTACAGGTAATTTCAATTTCATTTTTCTTCTCCTCCTTACCTATTTCACCATTCATTGAATCTTTAATAGATGATGAATTATTTTTCACATTTGATGAATCCTTGATAGAATTTTTATTCACCTCCTTCTTTACATTTTGCGATTCATTTTCATTTGCCTCGTGATTATCATTTATCCTTGGACTGGAGTCTTTTTTTCGTTTACTATTATTGATATCTATAAGATGATTATTCTGATTTGAAATATCACGTTTAGTATCCCTTCCAATAAAATTATTTGATTCACTGTGACCATTACTTTTGCGTAGTTGTGTTGTTTTAAAATCTGACTCATGATCGAGTAAGACTTTTGGATTGCACTCGTCATTATCCTTTAAACTTTCATTTTCAGATTTTTCATTAGGATCATCCTCCTCAATCCAAATTGTTCCTTTTGCCCTTTTTTTTATTGTGAAACCCTCAAATTTATCATAGGTCTTATCATTATTACTTTTATCATCATCAATCCATGAACGGCCCTTTGATCTTAATAAATGTCCACTCTCGTGTTTGGCACGTGTTCGTAAATTGTGTGGAGAATTTAATTTTAAATTAAGATTCCTTCGCGCACCATTGCACTGCACCATTTTAATCTCGTCAACACTAAAATTGTCAAGATTCTCCTTTGGTGATTTGTCTCCTTGCTCTGATAGAGCTTTATTGTGAAGACTCGAATCACCATTCGGGAATAGTTTGCAGTCTTTTCTGTAAATTAAATGAAAAGTCAAGTTGGTTTTTTCTTGTTTGCTTAGAAAAATTATAAATTTAATAAAATTTGAGAAAATTTTTGTCAAAACAATTTCTATAATTGATTATTTTAACTTTAACGTTTTAAACAATTATTCTTTTTTTTATTTTTCTCGTGACTCTTACAAAACTTTTCTCGATTTCACAATTGATATGTTAAAATTTTTGTGCATTTATTATTTGTGGAATTTAATTTTACATTACATATTGTGAAATGATATTGTTTTACGTTACATGCAGTTTTGATGATAATGCAATATATTGTATTGAGATACGTCATTTTGCTGATTTATTAACTGCATTTTTTTAATAACAAAAGTTTTCAAAATGACGGATTTATCTATCTTTAAGTAAATAAAAAAAATAATTTAAACCCTAAAATGTGTTTCATTGAAAACAATTCAATTTTTTATATTTTAAACAATTAGAAATTCATAAAACTTAATTTTTATTTCTCCGAATTTTTATTTGTGGCTGAATTCTCATTTATTTGAATTTAAATGTAATTAATTTGCTTGTATTTTAATAAGCAGAATTTTTAATTGAACAAATTTTTATTTAGCGTAATGAAAATGAAAATGATCCTTTCATTCTGAATTATAATTTTGTTAATTATAAATTATTTCAAATGAAAGTTCTTTTAAATGAAAATTTAGTTAAATAAAAATTGGGATTAGAAATTCTAATTTAAAAAAAGATCTTTTTTATGTAAATTAATTATAAATTCTTTTAAACGAAAATTTTGCTAAATAAAACTTGAGAGAAATAGAGAATCTGACTGTTTAAAATAACCTTTTCTTAAAGAAAAAAAAATCAAAAATTTTCACATAAATTAATAAACTAATAAAATTCATAAAAAAAATATATATATGTATTTAAAACGTACCTGACATCGTTTGACGAATTAAGCTTTAAAAATGCTTCGACACTCGCGCCAGTACTGATAAGTCTATCCAGGGACAAAAAGTTATCTTCATTTTGAACGAAACTCAAGTGCTTGTCTGTTTGTAAATGTTTTGTTAAGTCTCGATACTCGGAACGGCAGATTTCGCAGTACCCAGAAACGAGTTGTTCTGCCCTGCGAGCACGAGTTGTGGCACGAGGCCTACGTGTCATTTCTTTGCCCTTTTCCTTATTTACGTTTGCAGCCTCCCAGTTTTCCTTGGTTTCTTTGCTTTCAGATGCCTCTTTCTTTGCGCGCGGCTTCTTAAAAACAAATGGACATGAACCACGTTCACCGTCAAAATTGATGGTCGGCCAAGATTGTAATTCAAGAAACACAGGTTTCGTTTCCCTTAAAGAAAAAAAAAAAATCAACACAATTAATTTTGCAAAATTTAAGTTTTTTTAAAAATATTTTCGTTTGCAATTTTTTTTTTAAATATATTTACCTGTGATAGGACTCAAACTTGATGTAAGGTACTTTTAATTGTTTGACATTCAAATTTTTTGATGAAACTGATTGATTATTGTGTTGAATGTGTGTATCTTTATAGGACGTGTAGATTTTGTCGAGCCACGCTTGAAGTTTCTCAGGTGCCCAAATGGGAATATTCCAGGTTTGAGCGTTTTTAAGTGGATCCACGGAACACTGAAGTGGCTGTGTCAGAGCACGCTCCAACATTGCATCCGCTCGCGATTTCTTAACATAAACAAAAGCTGATTAGCAATTATTGCAAAAAAAAAAAAAATTCATTATTACATTATCATAATTAATTATTATGAAAAAATTAAACAAACAAAAAATCCAGAAGATGTAGAAAACTATTAATAAAAAAATAGAAAACAATACAATAAAAGAAGAAAAAAAAGGTTGAATAAAATTGATATCTTACTGTTCTTTGGGTAGTTTGGACCCGTAGATTTGTTGAATTTGAAAGGGGACCATCAGCATTTAAATATGGTGTGGGGGGAGTTGGTGTTGGGGCCTCTATACTCCTCAGCGAGGGGGGCCCCCCGCTCCCTCCACTGGCGTAACCCCATTTGCGTTTATCTGAATTTGTCTGTCCTGTCTTATCAACTCGGTCGCTAATCACAATATCGACGTTTCGCACTAAAAATACTTCAATCGTCTGTAACAAGCGAAATTGAAAGATATTTAAAAAAAAAAAGAAAATTAGTAAGTACTTTTATAAAACTTATTATTTCAATCCCAAAATCAAATCTCAATCATACATAATCAAGGTCCGATTATTGCTATTACTTGAAAATCAAATATTCGAATTGAAAAATATTGAAATTCAAATATTCGTTAACAAATTTTGAAAAACGAGACCTTCGCGCGCTGTTTATTGTTTTTTAATCATTAAATTATTTTGTATTAAAAAAACAGTGATTTTATTAGTTTTACTAAAAAGCATAACGCATAACACTTTGCTATGATCTTTTTATAATAGGATAAATTACAATTAATTTCTGTCACAAAAAAAAATTATTTTTCACATTTCAATGAGTAATTTTTCATTTTTAAACGAAATAAAATATAAATTATTGCTGATTATATTTTTAAAGGTAAAAAAATATTCGTGCACCTCTTCAAAAAAAAAAAAAAAATGCATTTCATCAGAAATATGAAACTTTCTTCTGAATATGATCCAAATGTAATATGCAAAAAAAAAAAAAAAAAAACACAACAAATTCTTATTAAATAATTTTCGATTTCTCTGAAAAAAGAAAAACCAATCGATTTCACTCACTTATCAATTGCACAGATCTTCACCTCTATTTTCGCAAATAAAAATTTTTTTCTCATTAACAAATTTAACTGTTAAAAAAGAAACAATGAATTGCACGACTTTGAATGAAAACAAAATCATGACGGGACACACATACACACTGTTTTTTTCTTTTGCAGTAGAAATTTAAGTGAGAACTGATATTTCACAGCTTTCATGACAATTGCTCAATAAATTGAAAAATGGAATACGTTGCATATTTTGATTTAAAATGAGTGCAACAAATGTTGAGGCGAAAGTAGTCCACCGATACATTTAGAATAGTTGGTGAAATTCAGTTATCAAAGTTACTTCGATAAAAATCAACAATCTGACCGAGGAAAATTATAATTCACGATGTAAATTCACACAAGTAAGTATTTAAAAAGAAAAAACATGCACAATTCCGTTTTAAATTCGCTATCCCTTTCTCTGTTAAACTAGTCAAGAAATGAAACACCAAAGGGGAGACAGGCGGGTAAAGGGAGTTTAAAATTTAGGTTAAATAACGTTGACACTATCTTGAAAATATGTTTGTGAATTATAAGAATAAATGAAATTTGAATAAAATATAACTTCTTTTGAAAAACAAATTAGAAATTTATATTCATTGAAATGTTTGTCGGACGGTGATGTTTGCTTGTGAGCCGCACAACAATGGTCGTCGCATTGTTGTCCCTGCGTTCTAATTATACTTGCACACATGTCCACTCTGAAGATACTCCAAAATGTTGTTCATAACTCAGAAAAAAAAACACGTGGTATCATGATTGTGGGAGACAATGAAATTTCCATATAAATGAAAATAGTTATAATAAAAAGCATGAAAAAGCGGGCGTTGTCGTCGATCAACTTACACACTTGCTCGAGACTGGTGAAGACTCTTTAATGGTAGGCTACTGTCAAGCGCTCCCGAAACTTGAAACCTTTTACACAACACCCGCGATAAATAATTTCAATGTCTCATTTATTTTTCATGACATTATAAATGTCACATTGTTTCACTGGAATATGTGAAATTTGTATAATACACTTGTAATTTGATGAACATATTTTTTTTTTAAAGAAAACCACGGGGATTAGAGCGAGACGCACGGAACTCGCAAAACTGTCACATACAAAATGGCCATTCGCCGTTAACAGCTTGCTTTACGAGCCTAGAGGCGGCGCTCGGATTCCACCGCTTTTCTCTGTGATGATATAAAACATACACACATACACAAACATTGAATCTAACAGGCGGGAAAATTATTTTCCAAGGATTAATCCTCTCTTTTTTAAATTCTTTTTCGATAATAATAATATAACATTTTTTTTCCCAAAAAAAAAAAAACAAAAAGACCGGTACACTAGATTGACAATTACAGTTGTCAAAATTGCAACAAGGTGGCGCTTGGTGTCTGTTGATTTTGTTTGTCAACAGTAATTTCGGGAAATATTCCCACGTGCTTTATATGTAATGAAAATTTCATAGGGAAAAATTTCCTCTCATTCTGATTTTAGAATTGTCAAATAATTTTTTTATATAGACTAAATAAATGAAAGAAAATAATAATACATCTGTTACTTGATCTTATTTATGAAAATATGATCAATTTTGATTTAATTCTGGGAAAAAAGTTAAATTATTTTTATTGGAAAGTATTAAGAAAAAAATTGACAATTTTATACTGAAATTTTAGTAGGAAATAAAAATTTTTTAATTTTGAAAAATAATATTTTTTCTTTACGAAAAAGAATTAAAAAAAAAAAAAAAAAAAAGATTCATCCAGTGTTTCTTAGCTTCAGTTACCATTCACAAGGTGGCAGAGTGGATATTTTTCTTTGATAATCTTGAAATTTGTCAAGCATTCACGGAAAATATATTGACATGACAGCTAGTCCATCAGTTTTCCGGTGATTTTCAAAGCAATTGTATCGAACGTTTTCACATCACATATACGATGGAAGTACGCGTGACTTTGGAATTTAGGGCGGAGCCCCCACAGCGTAGCAACAGCGACGCGAGTCTGGGCACAAATCTATAGTCCATTCGCCGTTTCTTTCGACCATATAGTTGCGATTAAATTTAGCGGGATATACTTTGAGAGATCAACAACAAGATGAACATTCACCCTGAACTTTACTTCTTTAATTCCTTGTCTTATTCCATCATAAAGCCTTGATAAAAAAAAAAAATTTCAAACTCTAAATATACATAACCGAAAAAGAATTAAAATTGTACACCTGTAAATTAATTACAAACAAAATTTCCGATATGACCAAATAAAAGCGGGAATATTGATTTTTCCATTTTTTATAAATTCAAACTTTGTTAGTTAATGTGTTCCTTGAAAACAAAAACAAATTAATTAATAATAATAAATTATTTGAATAAGTATCAATGTCTTTCTAAAGTAATTTTGTTTTTAGAAACAGAAATTTAATTCTATGTTCTTTTTAGATTATTTATCATTTAAATGCATTAATGTTTTTTTTTTTTTGTTAAGATTTGGAAGTAATTTCTTTTATAAAGTTTTCATTTTTTCAATAAGTATATTTGCATTTCATTTAAGGTAAACAACTTTAACACGGTCCCTCTAAAGGTTAACGCAGAGGTTAATATCTATATATGCCTTTAGTGTCAACTAGTGAATTAAATAATTAACCATCTAGTAAATTAAATACTTAGACAACTATAAAAAAATTCACTATATTTACCAGGTAACTAAACAATAATTAATTTCAATGACAACTAAAGTTATATTACTATTTTATATTGCCAAAAAATTAAACATTATTTGACCAATCAAAAAGAAAGACTTAAGTTTTTTTTTTATATTAACAAACTGTTTTTAATTAGAAACATATTAAATACTCACCCCGCCAAATTCTTTAATTTTTGCCTCTAACTTGGCTGAAACAGCATAGTTCTTAATATCCAAGTAAAAACATTTTTTCTCTAGTAACTTTGGCGCAGGAACCTTCTGCGATTGTGTCACTGTAAATATAATAAATATTTAATAATAATTTTTAATGAATTTAATTAAAATCAAATTATTCGCATTTTATTAAATATTAAAATCAAAGAATTTTTATCCTCACAACCTTTAGGTCAATCTAAGTTTGATATTTCACGATTGTCAATATATTTTATTGAGAAATGTATAGACTGATAAATGAGGATATGTTATATTATATTAGAAAGTATATACATATGCGATAACAAATACGAATGAAATAACGTCCGCAAAAGTCGTTACAACTCTCTGTGACTATTATTAATAAAGAGATGATTACATAAAAGTTTTATGTAAAATTATTATATGTGTAACATACGAGAATTTCTGCTTATTTTCTTGGTATTATTTTCCCGCTGTTTTCGCTCCGGATGCTGGACCTTGAATGGGGATACCATGCCTCCTATGCGATACAACGCGCGGCCAACCACAATATTTTCTTTTCATTGAATAATTTTTCCCTGATTTTCAAACTTTCCATTCTTGTATCATTGTTGCACTATAACTAGAAGATACATTTTAGCTGTTCAAACGTAAACTATATATATTTATTAATAAAGAATAATGATTAATTTCATTCTTATTTCTAAGAGTAACGGTATCACACAACCTTATCAATTAATCCAATCGTTTCGACTGAAGATAGCTGCTTCTTCATCTAAATCGAGATATCGAGATTTTCTCACGTTAGGTTAGAATCGTTAGAATGACAATTTAAAAATAGAAACATTGTTTTGATATGTTTTTTTTTTTTGCCTTTTTAAATATGGACTTCTGTCATTTTTATTTTTTATATTTTAAATATCTTTTATTTTTATTTATTTTTTACTTATGTATTTTTACTATTTATTTATTATTTTTTTTTATGAAAAGAAAAAAAAACTGTCTTGAAGTCAGGCGTTAGAAGTAGAAAACTAGTCACGTGATACTGGCTCTAAAATTCAAATTTTTATAAAAAAAAAATAATAATAAAAGTATACAAAATAAAAATTCTAAAAAAATTTATATAATTTTTACAAATTAATTTTGTATTTAAAAAATAAATGATTTTATTGTAAATAATTTTTAATAATATTAACTATTATTGGAAAAAAATTTTTATATGTGAAGACGACTTCAAATAGTCGTCAAAAATTTATTTTGAAATTTTTCAAACATTTTGTTTTCGTTTAAATTATATTATATAATATTGAGTTATAAATTAAATAACTCAGAAATAATGATGCCAGTGTAAGAAATGTAGGTTATTGCGTCATTGAGGCGATAATATTTTTTTGAGTTCATTTCGCATGCTGTCATTTGACGCACGTGACATAACCTATAAACTTAATTTAGTTATTTTTAAACAAACAATAAAATTTTCAATATGATTTGTTCAAGAATTATTAGTAAAAGAATTAGAAATGCAAGTGTTATTTTTAAAAGAGATTTTCAACAAAATAAAATAGAAATTACCAAGCCCGAAATTACGGAAATTCAAATCAAAGTTCCATGGGGTATTGTTGCAGGTAAATTTTGTCAAGTCATGTTTTATCTTATTAAAATAAAAAATTACAATTGTAAATTAATTTTTTTTATATATAACATATTTAAATTGTGGGCAAACATTTTCCATTTTTATTCAATTGAATAAATTTAATTTAATTTATTCATTATAAATAAAATACATTTCAAATTGAAAATTTATTTATTTTAAGTAAATTCAAGTATTTTTAAAATTTTAATATTGTGATTTGTTTTTGCGTATTTTTTTGTTTCATTTTATAGGTAAATTATGGGATTATGGATGTAAACAACCAATTCTTGCCCTTCATGGATGGCAGGATAATGCTGGTTCATTCGATATGTTAGCTCCACTTCTTAAAAATAGATCAATTTTAGCTGTGGATGCACCAGGTCATGGTATATCCAGTTGGTTGCCAAAAGGAATTCCCTATCATGATTCAATGATTATTCACGTTATTCGAAGAATAAAACGTTATTTTGGCTGGGAAAAAGTGAAATTAATGGGACATTCGGGTGGTGCTATTGCAAGTTTTAGATACGCTTCTTTTTATCCCGATGAGACTGAATTTGTTGTTGCAATTGATGCTCTTCAATTTACACCATTGACTGCAGCAAGATTTCCACAATCCAATAAAAATGTTGCAAGCGATATTGATAAATTTCTTATTTATGAAGAGAAAAATACTCCAGCTCCATGTCATACTCAACAAATTGCAATTGAAAGATGGATTAAAGCTACATTTGGTTCATTAAATGAAACTGCAGCGAGAACATTAATGATTCGTGGAGCAACACAAAAAGAAGATGGAACCTATTATTTTAATCGTGATCCAAATCTTAGATTGAATGCATCAAATATTGGTTATACTTTAGATCATTTAAAGGAAGTGGCAAAACTTATCAAGTGTCCTTATATTCTCTTAAGAGGAACCGAGTCAAAGTTGAAAGTTATTTTCTCTCAGGAAATTATAGACGTAATGCAAAATTGTTGTAAAGAATTTTCCGTTCATATGATACCGGGAACACATCATTTACATATGGTCAATCCTGAAGGAACAGCCGATGTGATAAATCCATTTCTAGATCGACATAATAAATGAATTAGACGAAAATTATATATTTTTTTTTATAGCAAGTTTATAATTATTATTAAATTATTACTATTATAAAAGAACGTTTAAGGTAGAAATAGTCAAATATTTATTTTGTTAATTTTGTAAATTATTGAATTAAACATTTTGTTAAAGAATATTTAAAACTTCGGTTTTGAAATTTTAACCGATTTTAAAGTATTAACAATCATATTTAATATTTTTTAAATAATTTAAAGATGTTCACAAAAATGGAAAATGTTTCCGAAAGTCTTGTCAATAAAATAAAGTACTTAATATAAATGTAATAATTTCTCTTTCAACAAGAAAACCAGAATAATTATTTTTCGCAGGCAAATTGTGGAATTCTTCACAGGATCAACAGCCAATTTTAGCGCTTCATGGCTGGCAAGATAATGCAGGATCATTTGATTTACTTGCTCCATTATTAAAAAATCATTCAATATTAGCGATAGACATGCCTGGTCATGGATTTTCAAGTTGGCTACCAAAAGGCATACCCTATGAAGATACAACAACAATTCTTCTAATTCAAAGATTAAAACGACATTTTAAATGGCAAAAAATAAAATTTCTCGGACATTCAGCAGGTGCACTTGTGAGTTTTATTTATGCGTCACTTTATCCTGAGGACACACAATTTGTTATTGCTCTCGATAGTTTGCAATATAAACCAATAATTGATGTTGCAAAACATAATTGTGAGTATGCGAAAAATATTGATAAATTTGTTGATTTAGAAATGAAAAATACATCGATACCAAGTTATAAAGAAGATGAATTTATAAAAAAATGGATAACGGGTACAAATAATTCTTTAAATGAAACTACCGTCAAAATTATGATGATTCGTGGAGCGAAAAAAATGAAAGATAAAACATTTATTTTCAATCGGGATCCACGTGTGAAATTAAACATTCCATTGAGAGTTATTTATACACGTAAATATTTAGAAAAAATGTCGAGACTAATTAAATGTCCATATTTAGTTTTACGAAGTTTTACAACATCTGACGATGAATTTTCATCAAATATTATTGAAATAATGAAAACAAATTGTCAAGAATTTTCAATTGTTTCCATGTTTGGAACTCATCATTTGCATTTGACAAATGCAAACAGTGTGGCTGAAACTTTAAAACCATTTTTAGAATCTCATGGTTGATTGTAAAAATATTTGTTAAAATAGTATAATAATAATAATAATAATAATAATAATAATAATAATAATAATTTATAATAAAAATAAACATTTTGATAGGAAAATAATTTTTCTTTTTTTTTGAAATAAAGTTGTATTGATTTATAAACATAAAAATAAATTTAAGAGTCCAAACAAATTAAGACTCTCAAAACTTGACGAGAATTGCAATTAAATCTTTTTTTTTCTTTTTTACAACAAAGTAGAAATCTAAAATATTTATAAAAATACTTGATGGAATGTTAAGATAGAATTATTTTGTTTATACTTTAATCTTACATTCTAGTATCGACATAGAGAATTTTTTTTTATTTAAACATCAGTAAAATTTTTCACTTTAAACTCTTGTAACATTTTAAAAATGCAATAACAAAATTTTTAGAATACTTGTTGCAATATTACACGATAATTAAACTATAAATATTGTTAGTTGCCATTGTTGATTAGATAAAATTATTTTTTGTTAAAGTCTCTTTTTAACCCCTTAAATTTCTACATTAATTTACATTTATATAAACTTTAGAATTTTTAAATAGACCTAATATGTAAATATATATATATATAGAGAGAGAGAAAACGTAAATTCTAACAAATTATTTTTCATGGTTTCCAAGGTTTCCTCTGCGGTGTACTGCCTTGTGATTTCGTCAAATTTTTACGAGCATTTGACGAGGGTGGAGTTCGATTATAACTTATACTTTTTTCAGGTGTTTTTTTTTGAAACAATCGATTTATTTTCGATGCTATAACTGATGGTGCTGTAATAAAAATATTTTGAATTATTTAAAATATTATAATATTAAACAATATAAACTTATAGAAAATTCTTTTTAAATTTTATTCGATTTTTTTATTTTATTTTTATAAAAAATTTGTATTCTATGAAATTAAATCTATTCAACTTAATTTCATACAATTGATTTTTGTAAAACTAAAAAAGTAATAAAATAAAGTATTATTTAACGTTTTTCTTTTTTTTTGTTCTAAAAAGTTTTAGTTTTTAAAAAAAAATTATAATTCATGAAAGTAAGTTTATTAACTTTAATTCAATTCAAATAAATGAATTTTTTAAATAAAAAATTAAACTCTTTAATTTTCATAATTTAAAATTCTAGTTTTTATAATTGAATTACAAATTAAATTTTTTTTAAATTCTAAAATTTCTTTTAATGTCAAAAAATAATATTTAAAACTTATTTTTAGACTAAAGAAAAATGGAATAACATTTTAAATAAAGAATCATAAATTTTCACCTTTTTTGTTTTGAACAGGTGAAAAGATTTTTCTCACTTGTGAAACTGCTGCAAGATTACTATTATCGACTCCTGATGATAAACGACGACTTTGACGAGATGGCAGGGACAAACAATTGTCAGTGTTAGTTTTGAGTTGATTTTTTTTTGGAACTATTGGCGATTTGCAAATAGTACCATTTTCCGAGGTGACAACAATTTTTGGAATTTTATCCGTTGGTGTTTCTTTATTTGTTATTATTTTCTTTTTTATTGCTCCCGAAGTTGATGGTAAATCAATATTTTCATTTCGATCAACATTATTAACGCAAACAGTAAAATTATTTGTACGTTCTAAAGATTTACTTCTACGTTTTCGATATTTTTTCATTGGCACTTGCATTGTAACTTTTACATTATTGTACCTTGATATTCTTTGTACTTCTTGATTTACTTTGCCACGATTATTAATATTAACTTCATAAGTTGACAATTCCTCTGTAGCAATATTAGTAAGAGACATACTTCTTCTTAATCTCGATCGTTTATGATTATTATTATCTTCAATATTGCACATTTGTTCTAAAATTTGGAATGATTGATCACTTGCAGTTGTTGAATCAAAATCATCTTCGTGGGAAATTTGTGAATTTCTTTTATAACGTGGAGTTGTCGTGTATTTCTTTTTTCTTGTTTTTATTGGATATTGTTTGGTATTTATTGTGGACGATGGAATTTTTGTCGTGAAACAAACTTGTTTTTTTGTCGGTGAAATAGGGAAATTTTCTTTATTAATCGAAGTGCAACCATTGGAAAATTGTGGTAGGGGAAAATATTCCTTTTTTCTGTTCATTGAATTTAATCCTTGATTTGTCCTACAAAATAAAACTGATTTTTCCGCAGAAGAATGAGATGCCTTGGATTTTTGTGATAATGGCCAATCGGGTGGTGATTCATTTTCAATTTTTTTTTGTGGCGTCGGATAAATGTGCCTCAGTTCATTGATAATGGAGTCCAGCTCCTTGCGACTATCATCATCATCATTATCAAAATCACTGTTTATTTCAGGGGATCTTGACACTTCTGTAGAACTATAGAGACTATCCTCCTCGCTCGCTTGATCTGTATAATTATAATTAGTCTTTAAAGTATAATGAAGAATGTATGAAAGTTGATCAATGGTGATTTCTCTTAAATTTTTATTTAAAATTTCAGCGAAATGTTTCACAGTCTCGTTGAATTTATGATTCTCGGGTAAATTTGACAATGGTCCTTTTCTTAAATCATCAACAATTGAGAGTAATTTAACGCCAGATATTCTCTTTGATTGATCATTACTATTGGCATTTGATTCCTCTAAAATTGTAGTTAAACGTTTAACTTGTGGTAGAAAATCATTACACTGATTAGATGTTGAAGAATCATTTACAGAATGGTCGCTCAATTCAAAATTTGACTGTGAATTGATTGACATGAAAATGGTATTGTTATTTTCTGATAAATGTTTCCTCGATGATAAAACATTGGGTAATTCTTTATATTTTGTACTTAATATTGAGTCTGTAGGATGTGATTTTATTGGTGAAATATTAAAACTACTTTCGCAATCGATAAATTCTTCTTCATCAGATGGAAGTCTTTTATTTAAAATTGAAGGTCCAGTTAAATTAACATGTCTCATTGTTTCATTAGGTGAATAAAAAGATACATCCGAGTCCATAGCACCTTCTAAAATAATTGAATTCATTGATTCTATTAAATTGTGTTTAATTGATCCTTGTGAAGATCCTGACGCAAGTATTAATGACGGTTCTCTGTGATTTGTTTGAAATGTATCATTTTTAGAGGCATTCCTTAAAAATGAATCATTTTCAATTAGTCGTCGAAGATTTGATTCATCGGTAGACATATTATAAGTTGCTTCTGTGCTTCTAAAGTGTGTATTCTCCATAACACTAACACTATGATTTGTTGAATTTTGAAATGCTTTATTCCATGCCGAATGATCAGAATCGCCTGTAAAAAAAAAAATTAATTTAATTAAAAAAAGAAAACATTTAAAAACATTCAATGTGCGCTGTTGAAGTAAAAATTATGAAAAATCGTCTGGAATTAAATAATTCAGTTTATCTTCAATTATTCAATCAAATATAATACTGCAATTATTTTCAAATATTTAAATAAAACAATTAAAAATATTTTAAATTATTCAAACAAATAATTAAAATTTTCTCTAAACAATAAATAAAATTAAAATTATCTTTAAATATTACCCTTAAATCAAATAATTAAAATTATCTTCTTTTCTGTTTTAAAACAGGTTTACAAAAAAATTTTTCAAGGTCAATTTTAAAATTGATTAAGTTAAATATTCAAAACAATTTTTTCGAGTTAGAATAATTCTCAAGATTTTAGCTTATAATATACCTATTTTTTAAAAAAAAGTCTAACTCAAAAATAAATTTTCAAAACTAAATCTTACATTCTTACGCTAGATGTAAATATTAAGAATTTAAATAAACACGTTTAAATATATATACATATATATATATATATATAGATTATAAAGCTATTCAAATATAACATAGATGGATAAACATAAAAAAATGTTCAAAAGTTTGTGTTAATAACAATAAACAGTGTTACAAAAATACGTTTTAAAAAAATTATCCTATTCAGGAAGTTCATTAACCAGAGTATCAGTATAGCAGGTGTAAAAGGTGCAAAATCGATATTAGAGGTTATGGTAATTAAATTTATACTATTACTTACTGTCTGTTGTCGCAATTCTCAGTTCTCGAACACGTTTAGCCATTTTTTGTTATATTTATTTACCACCATAAACACACAAATAGTTATTATTTATCAAAAATACTAGATCATTTAATCGTTTTTGTGGTTTTTACACAGATTACACGCATATTCTTGGAAAAATGCTAAAATCCACCTGACTTTCAGCCCTCTAGCCGGGCGCCGGTGCAACAAGTGTTTAAAATTGTCGTTGGGTATGTGAATTTATAAAACGCAGAGACATTTTCTTATCAAAAAGAAAAAAAAGAGAATATAAGAAAAAAAATTATTTAAGGGCCTAGATAAGATTAAATTCAAATATCCAAAATATTGAAAACCGTTAAAACATTATCTTTGTGGACTTTCTATAAAAAAGATAACTTTATCTTAGACTTTGAGGATTTATCTTCTTAATTATATTATTCTCCTATTTCTTTTAGTTTAAAAACATATTCATTTCACTGTATTTTCATACATATTATATGTATACGTGTTGTCGTATATGAGATATAAAAAATTTGATAAATAAAAAACATTTAAACTTACTGCAATTTCCCGCCAATTTATCAGCTGTTTGCAATCTCGTATCTAGTCCAATCAATACCCTGGGGGCCATTTTTAAATAGTCAAATGAAAAATAATATTTATAATTGTACCTTCTTTATAAATTAGATTAATTTTCTTCCTGATAAAAGGAATATAACTTTTTTTAAATAAATTGTAGTTTAATTTGAGTTAGCTATTGTTAGATTTCTGTGAAAAATATAATTGGTAAATTAAGTTGGATAATAAAATGAAAATAGTGTATACAGGTCTGAAAATACAAAGGGTCGCGTGATCGTCGATGAAGCTTCTGAATTGGGTGGAAGCTTTCGTCGTTTTTCCCCACTCGTTCTTGATTTTACAATATTTGTTCAAGGTTTAAATTAAACTTTGGACTCTTTAGTTGACTTTTAGATGCAAGTGCGAACTTGTCGTAATTTTTTGTCTTCTTTATAAAATTGCCAAATTACGTGTGTCTTTGCTGGCAAACATTCGTTCTACACGAATGGTTTAAATGTCTTCAAATATGACATTCACGAGTTTATGAATGTGACAAGTATCTTTTATTTTCTATTTTGTCGATAGTGATAAAAGTGTACTTTTAGAATCTCAAAAAGAAAGTCAACAATAGAATTATCTATTGTCAATCTATATATATGTGATTTGACAACAATTAAAAATCATAAGTCTTCGTTGGATTATTCATAGTGGAAAACTATTTTTGACCTACTCCGAAAATAAAATACTTTTTTTTTTCAAAGAGAGAAATCTTCCAAGCACATATAAATTATGACGAGTAAAACAATCGATATGCAGTACACACCACCAACATCGGATACAATTCAGACAAAACCGTTTCCAATTAGAGGTAAGCAATTGTTTATTTTAGCATGTTTTGTTATAAACAAAAAAAAAAAAAAATTTCTTGCAATGGATTTGATATTTCTATTTACTTTGATGTTGGTTCTTTAAAATAATTTCATGATTCATATACACATGCCACGTGTCTATTATATTTATATTATTTTCTATCTGAAAATATATTTTTATTTATTATTTAATAAAGAATATTTATTAAAATTTATAATTTTTAAACGTGACAAATTGAGAAAAAACAATATTACTGTAATTTAAAATTTTTTAAATTAAATTTTCAAAAAATAATTAAAAAATGTTTCATTCTGCTTTATAATCAATATTTTTATGTTTAATCTTGTTTATCTTTAGTATTTTGTCTTCATTCTTTCATCCATTGTTTTATGTATTTGTTTTCAAGAGATAGTCTCATATTTCTTGAATACAGAGAGAATTTAAATGTATAGGAGTATTGAATTTTGCAACATATTTCTGAATTTTAATCTGCGTCACTGTTTTATTTATAATTACGCGTTACATTTCATGTAAAATAGTAGATATTAAAATTTACGAAATCATAATAGATATTTCACATTTAAAAAGAAAAAAGAATAAAAATAAATTACTTAATTGTTGTCTCACTAAGCAAAGTATAGTTTTATGTTTTTTAATTTGTTTAAACGTAAATTAAAAAATTACTAATTGAATTTTATTACTTCAGCAGAAGATATTTTAAAAAAATTATTTCTGTAGTTACATGCTTCGAATTTCAAAAAAAAAAATATATTTATTTGAAAATAATAGAGTAATGAAGAAAATTTATGAACTTTATGAAGTAAGCGAAGCGAATAAATAAAAAATGAACACGTGCGCTCATTTTGTTATATCATTTGTTATGCATCATTATTTCTCTGAAATGCAAAATAACGCATATATAAAACATATTTTTTATTACCTTTATCTTATAATGCTAACGATGCTAAATTGTTTTTCAATTCTTATAATGCACATTGTTCTTTTTAAATTTTGTTTACTATCAAAGTCTAATATTTGCTTTATAATGCATATAATAATTATTATTTAAATTACGCATGTTATTAAACTAAATTTTTGCTGTAAAAAAAAATTAATTTTTTTTTTAAATTTTAATATTGATAAAGTTTTTTTCATTTCTATCAAATAATTAAAAAAAAAATTGTAATTAATTGATTAGAACATAACATTCAAAATTTATATATTTTTTCGAATTTTAAATTGTTAGTTTATGCTTTTCAATATTATTTTCATGCTGTATGTAAATATTTTACTGTATTATGATTTATAAAAAAAAAGTTATGACAACTAAATTATTGATTAGATATTTAGGTGGCAATTGGATTTACAAGACGTGAATTCTGTCCAGACAAAGCTAGTTTATTGTTGATTGGCAATGATCCAGTTTTGATTCTTTGATTGTCAAATGAACTATTGCCTTTTGAAATATTCTCAATCTAAAATGCTTTAAAAACAAACAATAAATTTCCTTTAATTGTCCTAATGTCATTAAAATTCTTGACTTACTCCTTTAAAGTTTGTTTATCAGCAATGAAAGAAAAAAGTAAACTTAAAATTGTTCAATAAGAAACTTTCATAAAATTATTTTTCTGTAAAGGTAATTTTCTTCAGTTTATAATAATAATAATAATAATAATAATAATAAAATAATTTTTATAAATAATAATTATTTATTAATAACAATTAATAATTATTAAAAAAATTACTCTTTCGATTTTATTTATTTCGATTTTTTTCCCTAATTTATTATAAAATTTGAAAAAATTAATTTAATGTATAAAAAAAGTGCCTCTTTTATTTTCTAATCAAATTCCTTGAATTATTGTATATTACTCATAATTTATCGGAAAGAATTTGCTCACATGTTGCGTAGATTAGTTTGGCAGAAAATAATTTTTAAATGATTTAGGTATCTGAGAAATTTTTCGAATCTCCAAGAATTGGACAATTATTTTATGTTTGTTTTAAAAAATATATATATATATATATATAAATTTAATTTACTCAATTATTATTTTAATACTTAATTTAAATAGTTTATTATATAATAATATGGATATATTATTACTTATAGCTTCTTTTAATTTTTGAACAAAATTAATTATTAATTAAAAACAATTTTTTTAGTGAAACTTTTTTTATTTAAAAAAAATTCTTTTAGTTCCTTTTTTTTATGTTTAATATATATTTATGTTTGGAATTAATTTATCGACTGCTGTCCAAAAAAAAAGAGACATGCATTTTTTTCTTCCCCATAATTCATGACCAAGAATGTTAAAGAAATATTGATAAGTAATAGATATTACTGGACTTATCATTGAATTATCTCGTATAGGTAAACATTAAATTTTGTGCCTATTGTATAAAGTCATGGCCACTCACCCGAAACAACCACGAATCTCCAATTTTATGCGTAAGCTTATTTGAGTTTTAATTTATATAAAAATTTTTTTAAAATAACCAAAGGATTAATTATTTTTTTTTGTCCTCTGCGAGAGAGAATTTTTTATAATAATTGTCTGCTTTTTTTTTATTTACAGTAAAACATCTTTTTAAGACAGAACTTGTGGATGATAATATTTTTCTTTCCGAGTGGCTATTGAATGTATATATTGTATTGTTATTTTTTCCTATCTTTGGTGGAATTTGAATTAAATTCCATAATTTTGAAATTAATTTAATGGAAAAATTTTTTTTTTTTCTCACTTTTAAGGGGAACGAGCCAATTTTGTAAATAAGCCACATGTGATAGCAATGGTGGGATTGCCAGCCAGAGGGAAGACTTACATCTCAAAGAAGCTGTGCAGATATTTAAATTGGATTGGTATTAGCACAAAAGTTTTCAATTTAGGAGAATATAGAAGGCATGCAACAACGGCCTATCAATGTCATGATTTTTTTCGTCCCGATAATATTAAGGCAATGGCAATTAGAACACAATGTGCTCTCGATGCATTGACAGATGTATGCAAATGGTTGGAGTCTGGAGATGGTGAGGTTGCCGTTTTTGATGCGACAAATTCCACTGTCGATCGACGGGACATGATTCGCGAGATTGTTGTCCTTAAAATGGGCTTTAAACTTTTTTTCGTTGAATCCGTTTGCAACGATCCAGAAATTGTCGAACAGAATATTATGGAGGTATGTAAATTTTTTTTTTATAAAATTTAATAGAATAAAAAAATGTTATCAAAAATTATTATAATAATAAAAAATAAAAATATTGGAAAATAAGATATGTAAAAACAAAATTTGGAAAATTTTGAAAAGAAAGATGACATTTGGTATAGTTATATGAAAACTGAAAAGTGCAGGATGTATATTTTCATATTGATTTTGAAATTGCAGGTCAAGGTGAGCAGTCCAGATTACGCGAATATGAACAAGGAGGAAGTCTTGGCGGATTTTATGCTTCGCATTGAACATTATCAGGAGAAATATCAGCCATTAGATGAAAATCGTGAGAGTGATTTGTCGTTTATGAAAATTTACAATACCGGCGAAAAGGTTCTTGTTCATAAGCACGAGGGCCATATACAAAGTCGGATAGTTTATTATTTAATGAATATTCACATTGTTCCGCGCACAATTTATCTTACAAGGCATGGCGAAAGTGTTATGAATTTGGATGGACGAATTGGTGGCGATTCAGATCTCAGTGATAGGGGACGTTTGTACGCAAAGGCATTGTCCGAATATATTATTAAGCAAGATATTCAGGGGCTTCGCGTTTGGACCAGTTGGCTAAAACGAACCATTCAAACGGCAGCCGATGTTAAAGCACCACAAGAAAGGTGGAAAGCCCTAAATGAAATTGATGCTGTGAGTTTATTGTTTATTGTATTAATTTTTATATTCTACATGAAAATAAAATTACAAATTTATTGTTTATTATTATTTATTAAAAAAAAAAAAAATTTTTTTACTTATTTTTTAAATTTATTGTGTCGTGAATAATGTATATCGTTTTTCAATATTGAAGGGCATCTGTGAGGAGATGACATACGAGGAGATTGAGGAGAAACATCCAACAGATTTTGCAGCTAGGGACCAAAACAAATTTTCTTATCGATATCCACGGGGAGAGAGTTACGAGGATTTGGTAGCACGTTTAGAGCCAGTGATTATGGAATTAGAGAGACAGGGTAATGTTTTGGTTGTCAGTCATCAGGCAGTTTTGCGTTGTCTACTTGCGTACTTTTTAGACAAAAATGCAGGTCAGTAGATATAATTTCATTGATTTAATAATAATAAAAATAATAATAATAATGTATCTTCAATATTTCTCCTATCGTTTCTTATTAAAATTATATAAAATAAAATAAAAATCGAGCCTCGCTTTTAATACTAACTAAATATAGTTTAGATTATATAATTTAACCTTGATGATGCTGTTGAAATAAAGCGGAAATAGATAAGAAATTGTTTATGGCAAATATGCATGGATAATCATATTGAGGCTTAAAAAAATCAATTGGAAAAAAAAATTGAATTTCAGAAAATAGATTTAATCTAATTTTTGAATCTTATTTATTTTTAGAGGCTTTTTGAATTTGTTTTAAATGTAGTTTCAAGACAAACTTGTTTGGATTTGTGGTTTTACAGCATTTCTGTTTTTTTTTTTTTGGTATTTTTAGATGAACTACCGTATCTGCAAGTACCGCTACATACAATAATTAAATTAACCCCAGTGGCTTATGGTTGCAAAGTGGAAAATATTCGACTACCAATCGATGCAGTCGACACACATCGAGCAAAACCAAAGGTAGAAGCTTAGATCCTAATACGAAACTTTTGCCTTGAAAAAACCTAAAAATAGAAAAAAAAAAATGTTTTTCCTTAGTTTTTGAATGCCAGAGCTATATTGATTGATTTTAGTAGTTACGTAAATGTTCATGTACTTTTCATGGCTAACTTACACCAACAATGTGACAGAAATGCTTTTTATCACTTTGTGCAACATCGAAATTTGTAGCTTGTTAATGGCACTAATCTCTTCTTTTTTTCTTTTTTTATTTATTTAAAAAAAAAAGAATCATGCATGAATCGCTAGAAAATATTTATCACTATCAAAACTTGTCAAGAATAATTGAGAGGCATCAGAAACGCGAACTGACATCAAATTTTATTACTTTTTTCTTTTTTTTTTTTGTTACGTGTTATCAATTGCAAAGCAAATTATTATTTTTGTATTCTAGATAAAACAACTAATCGTGGAAATTTTTTATTTTTATTTCATTTCATTTAGAATTTTTAATAAAATTAATTTTAAATTTATTAAAATTCAATTAAAAATCAAATTCTTTTAAACTTAATAATTTTTTTAATCAATTTCAATTAAATTAAAAATTAATTCAAGTTATTTTTTGTTTTAAACTTAATTGATTAATTTTTATTTCGATTCTCCTCAATTATTATTATTATTATCGTTTTGTGTCTAACACCTAGTGTAAATAATATTACAGTAAATTATTAACGTTGAAAGAGAGAGAGCAAGAGAGAAAGAGAAACCAACTGAATTAATACTTCAATAAGAGGAAAAAAAAAGAAATTTAAAAAATAATAATAAACAAACTAAAACGAATGTCAAGTCGATGTTTATATAATGTGCATCAAAAATTGTTTTAGTCTAAATTTATATAAATTAAACGTTGGTAACAATTTATTTACATGTCTGAGTACAAAAAAGAGGCTTACTTTTCTGCGGTCTGGTATCGTAAGATGTCTTCCTGTCCGTAAAAAGTTTTTATATAGTACAAAAAAAACCCATTTATTGTGTATGCAATCCAAGTACCTGAGCTTTTTATGACAATATTACGTCTGTTTATATTTTCTATTGTAATTTTTCTATATCTTATATATACATTTTATTCGAAATCAACGATAAATCATCGCAAAAAAAAAGAATTATGTTATATAAATTATTAACAATAGCAACGTACAATAATTATGATTGGTGGAGGTCAAGAGACTTATTATACATATCATTTATATACAATATGTATTTTAAAGTGCATTTTTAAAGAACTTATATTTATTAATTAAAGGGATTGGTTTTAAATTCGGGTCAAATAAAAAAGAGAATCTTAAATTGTGACCCTTAAAAATTATCGTTTACTAACAATAATAATAATCAAAATTTTAATAATAATAATAATATGAATAATAATGATAACAAGAGTAAATAAAAAGTAACAATAAAGTGAATTGATACTAAATTTTGTTATTAATATTTGTTTGAATCGTCACATTACCTATCATCAATACCTGTTCATTAACTACGAATTAATGAATAATAACTATTGTATTTCATTATTTCTTTTCTCTTTTAGCTGTAAATATTTTCCAATTTTTTATTCCTTTGATAATTAAGTGTATTGTGTTATTAAATTTAATTAAGTATTTCGACTTTAATGAGATGTGAACAAAATTATTTTCTGACAAACCATCAAGAAGAAACTCGTTGCTTTATTTTGTTTTCCTTTTTTTTCTTTTATCGAATATTTCATTTGAGACAAAATTACTTTACTAAATAGCTGTAATATCAAATTTTTTAAAACTATTTTCAGATACCCGGATATCTAGAGGAGCGCTTCAGGAGAAAAGGGAAAAATCTTCACACGTGATAACAATTGTTTATCATCATTAGCCGCTTTGTTTGAAAATAATGAAGCAGTGTTTTCTTTCGGACAGCTGCTGATTTGCCTTCGCGAACATGAATACGAAATGAATATTGAGGTGCCGACTATTTTCTACTCGTTTTGTCACCCTCTTAAAAAAAAAAAAATCTCCGTGAATAAAATAGTTATTGTCAACGAATCAAACAAAAAGTCATAATCAATTTTCGCCTTGCCACCGCCGGACAAATGAAGAGATGGTTCTGCGCTTCGTAAAAGAAAAAAAAAAAAAAAAAAAGAAAACCGGAGTCTTTTTTTGATTTCGTGAAAAAAACATATATATACGTATGTGTACGAAAAAAACAAACTATTTCCTATAGGCATTTTCTAAAAAAAATTTGCTCCTTCTCGATAAAAGAAAAGTATAAATAATAATTAATCCGCTGCATAAGAGACTGTGATTTTTATGGAATTGGGTTGTTTTATTTCAGTTTGTTGCTTCCAACAACGCGCTGAGACTTAGACTATAATTATTTAGAATTCAAAGTATAAATCAAAGTAATAAATAAAAACAAAGAAAAGAAAATTAAAACTTAGTTTTTCTAAACTTATTTTCTTTGAAAATGAGTATGCCGTGTTCCAAACACTTTTTGATACTTAAAAAAAATTGACAACTCAAAGAAAGGAAAGTTTTAAATTAAATATAAATAGATTATAAATAGATTTTGTCCAATTTCAATCTATATTCTTCGTATCTTTATATAAATAATAATAATAATCTTTATATCCGACCTTGAATGTTACCGATTTCTTCTCAAGGGCCAATAAATAATTGCTCTTTTACGTAAATGTCTGCCATTCATATTATGAATATCTTTAATATTTACAATTAAAAAAAAAAAAAAAAAACAATTATTAATATTGACATTTTTTTTTCCTCTGATCAACCGAATAATCTTAATGTAAAAAAAATCTCAATAAATTCTTATACATACAATTGTTACGAGATACTTAAATAAACTATTTTTATTCATTAGATAGCAAATTTTTTCAGTACCTCTTTTTGATTCGTTCTATGACTTTCTTTATCGCATATTTTAAAACTATTTAACAAAAATTCAATCTTCTTCAATTTTTTCCTCTAGACCCATAGCTTCAACATCTACCACACCTTTCTTTGATCGTTTATTAGATTGATCTGTAAATTAAAAAAAATTTGAAGAAAATTTTATAAACAATAACTTTATAAAATTAATAAATGTATTAAAAAATCGTTGAATCAATTAATAAATAATAATAAAAAATATAATAATTATAATATAAAATAAATTTTTAATTAAACAATTTTAAAATTACCTTCGTGGAAATGTCTTGCGGTTCGTTTACGAATATCGTCGATCGCTTCTTCTTTTTGTGCCCATTCAAGAACTAAACGTCGTCCATACAAATGTGTACTTTGACATAAAGCTTTAAATGCCACCTAATAAAAAAAATAATAATAAAAATATATTATTTTAAATTAAAAAAAAAAAAAAAAAAAAATGCATAATATTTTTAACTTACTTTAGCATCTTTCTTTGTGGAATATTCAACGAAAGCAAATCCACGATGTTTTTCATTTCCAACTAATTTTTTTGGCAATCTCACAGCTTTCAAATCGCCAAATACTCTAAAATATTTCAAAATATTCATTAAAAAAATATAGATATATTAAGTAAATTGATTAAAATTAAATTTAATTCAAATTCGAAACAAAACTAAAACATTAAAAATATATTTAAAAAAAAAGAAAAATTTATAATTCTCTATATTTTGTTTCAATTATTTTTAAACAATGAAAATTTCTTACTTGAACAATTGTGTAATTTCATTAGCATTGGCTTGAAAGGGAATATTTCTCACTAAAATTTTAGTTCCAGTTTGTTGAGTGATTTTTGCACTTTTTTTCGCTACCTGCAAATCTGACCTAATTAGAACAGAAACAAATCATAGATTCAATAACCCGATGACACTTTTTTTCTTAACAAAAATAATCAATGTATGTATTCATTTGCAATATTTCATTTCATAGGATTAGAATTGATAATTTTCATAAAAAAGAAATTCACAATTAATTTAGAATTTTTAAATTAAATTGATTCATAAACACTTACTGTAATGTTCTTTCGGATCTTTTTAATTCGATTGTCTTTCCATTTAAATCAGTCATCTGCAATTCTTTCAAAGCTCGTTCAGCATGAATTTTATATTTATATCTGACAAAACCATAACCCATCGATAATTTTGTACTGGGATTTTTCGGATCTTTCTTGGTGGCAACCGTTGCATAGTGAAGTAAACCACAACGTTTAAAGTGCTGCCAAAAGAGATTTTTCATTAAACCGTAAATTAATTAAAATGTAAAATAATGATAATAATAATGAATAAAATATAATAAAAGTGTTTATAAATAAAATAAAAAAATCATAATATATTTAGAAATTGAAAATTAATATTCTATTTAAGATTGAATATTCAAAAATTAGTTAGAAAAATTAAAAATTACGTTTTTCATATCTTCGTCAGTCGTCGAAAAATTCAAATTTTTAACAAACAACGTAGTATCGGGCTCTGGTTCATCTTCATCATCGTCATCGTCATCATCATCTGTTTTCTTCACTTCTTCCTTAATTTCGGTTTCGTTTTTTACTGTTTTCTTTTCATTTTCATTAGATTTATTTTCCTGTATTTTCTTTGAAGAAGATGATTCTTTTTTCTGGAGATCATTAGCAAAACTATTGTCAGGCGCCCATTCCAGATAAAGGGGTAAACTTTTAAATTTTGTGTATGCCAATCTTGTAAATGCTATTCGTGCTTCCGATGGTTCAAAAAATTCGACTATCGCTTTAAAAAAAAATATATATAATTTCAATATACAATGTTTCATAAAAATGGAAATATTTAATTTTTCTAAAATTATCATATTTGGTTATAAAAGACAATTATTGTTATTAATTTTACTAACCCGTGATTCCTGCAGGTGGTAAAATAACACGTCCAACTTCACCGTGTTTTGAGAACATTTCTAAAATTTCATTTTGTTGTGTTTTTGCAGGTAAATTCTTTACAAGTATCACAGTCTTTGATCTCTTCTTCGGGGGCTACAGTAAATTATTTATAAATTTATTTTACTTTCTACAAATTAATAAATTAAAAAATAAATGCAAAATAATGATTGGAATTGAAAAATTAATTTCTATACCTGATTAAATGCATCTATACAAACGTCATTTTCTTCTAAAAATTTTTTTGTCCTCTCGACGATTTGTGTTTCTCCTAAAGCTAGTCGAACTGCTGTACTTATTCCTTTCGATTCATCTTCGAGAATCTATTAATAAAATTAATTAATTTAACAAAAAAAGTCGTACAAGCCATGAAAATTAATAAAGAGAAAAAATACTTTTTCTTTCGTTGTATTGTAAGTTGCAGCCATTGCTTCAGCAACAGCGTCAGTTCCCAAGAAAAGAGTATTCCAATTGTGAGATGAACCAGCAGTAGCTTTTTCTTTTAAAGCTTTTTTATCTTTGTAGCTTAGATTTTCTAGTGTGACAAATATTAAGACAATTAATAATTTTCCTAATAATAATAAATTTACATTTTTTAAATAAATTAATTATTATCGAAAAAAAACTTGCCATTTTGAAGTAAATCTTCAGGCGATTCTTTTGCTTTTCCAGGTAAGATATGTAACATTCTACCATTTAAAATTGAACCATCTAATTCTGTATACGCTTTTACTGCGTGTTCTGGCATCATGAAAGTTACAGTTCCAAATCCTTTGGATTTTCTACTTATTCTATCCACTGGTAAATTTACCTCAGTTAGTGGACCTAGAAAAGAATTAAACAATGAATTTAAAAAAAAAATATTAATTAAAAAACAAAAATAGAATAAAATTACAAAAATTTCAATTTATAATTTTACCATATTTTTCAAATAGTTTAGTGACATCGTCTTCAGTTGTTGTATAAGATAAATTTCTCAGAAACATTCTTCCGGATTCTGCTATTGTTTCTTCATTAGCAAGAGCGTCACTCTGCTTTTTCCATTTCATATCCACACTTTTATTTTCATTCTCTCTCTGATTCTCTTTCTGTTCGTATTTAACTATGAATATTTGTTTTCCATCTGTCGATTAAAGAATACTTTTAATTTTAAAAACACAAAATATACATTAAAAAATTAAATAATCTAATCTACTTTTCAATTAGTTTTACTTAAAACTTACCTAAAAAGCTTTTGTGCTTGCTCAACGCCTGCTTCATATGTTTCTCAGTTTTAAAACCAACATAAGCGATACCTTTTATTTTTTGAGGCACTCGTATTGATTTTGGTTTCAATGGTTTGAAAAATTGCTTCAAATCCTTCTTTTTATGATTACAGCCTAAACCGCGTAATTTAACTGTAAAAAATTTAACAAGTTCTTTCTTCGGTTCCTTTGCCTTTTTCAGTGCTCCAAAAACCTGTTAAACAAGTTTATCAATAATTTAATAAAATAGTAAAAACTTTAATTTAATAAAATAATAGTCGATATTTTATATAAGAATAACAATTATTATTTTAATTTAAAAAAAAAATATATATTTTTTATACCTCGAAATCAAGTTTTTTCTCGGTCTCTTTTTCCTCAACTTTTTTTGAATTAATTTCTTCAGTTTCACTATCACTCTCATCACTTTTATTTTCTTCATCGAGTAATTTTTGTGCTTCATTACTCCACACTTGTTTAGCTGTTTTACCAGAATGACTTTCCAAAAATTCGTTAAATAAAGGATCGTCTTTATGCTGAAAAATTATTATTATTATTTTATTAATTTAATTTAAAATCTATTATTTCTTAATTGAATTGTAAAACATTACCTTTTCAATTATTTCTTTAAGTTCTTTGTTTTTTTCTTTTTTCTTCTTCTTTTCCTTTTTAACTGGAATTTCTTCATCTGCTTTAACAGTTTTACCCGTAAGATTCTCGTGAGCTGAACTATCTATTGCATATTTACTCCAAGATTTTGGTTTCGAAGAATCGCCTAAAATAGTTTAAAGATGAATAATTAAGGAGCAAATGACAAAAATTAATAATTTCAAGAAATATTTTTCTAAACATTTTAACAATAACTCTAATAAAACTAATAAATAAATAATAAAGACAAAAAATGTTTTTACCTAGTTTGGCACATAATTCAACGGATATTTTTGATGTGTCAATATAAGTTTGATTAAAATAGTCAACAGCATTTTGTGCCTCTTCTTCAGTTTTGTATCCAATAAAGCAAAATCTACGAAATATTCCCTCTTTTGTATATTTAAGCTGAACATCAGTAATTTTTCCCTTTTTACTAAAATGTTCTTTTAATTTATCTTCCGTAATCTGTCGAATTAAATAAAAAAAAGTTCATACATACAATTTATAGGTTAAGTCAAATTTATTTGTGATAATTGTCAGAAATACATATATTGTTATTAAAGGTTACTTACAGATTTCGGTAAATTTTTTACAATTAAACGAGACATTGTGCATTATTTAAAAAAATTACAATAATCTAATTGTAAACAATAGCAGAAGGAAATTACTTTTTTATAAACACGTGTTGCAAGTAAACCAATTGAAGTCGTCTACAATCGAAATAATTGAATTCGATAGTATCGTTTTTAGTATACAGACAACTTCAGTTATTAAAAGTTTTATGATTAAAATTGCAGTTTCTTTCAAGGTAGTTTCAAGTTAAAATCATTTTTTAAAATGTAAAATTTGTGTTTAAAATATGTCATATATATGTATACAAATTAATTAAGTCGCTAAAATTAATTTAACGGTTTCTCTAAATTGGTTAAATGTTTTATAAATCGTAATTAGTTTTGTTTACCGCGAGAAATTTCTTCGACAAAACATAACCTAACTTTACTAGTGGCGCGAATCGCGGAAAAGTATTATAATTGAAATATAATTTTTTTTGCGCTTTATAACTAAAGAATTTAATAAATCATGATGAGATATTATTTTCTAAAGATTGTTATTATTACCGCGTGTTAATTATTTTAAAAAGTTCTTATAAATTTCCAAAATTACGAAAATTACTTAAATATCGTGGAAACTTTCGTTGTTGGAAATATATAAACTTCGTCTATATTTTGTTTTCGTTTTGAATTCAACGGTAATCTGCAACATTTTCTTTTAACTCTGTATTCTTTTTGTAAATCTATAGTGTAATAAGTGTTTATTCGATGTTGATGAAACGACTAATTCGCAACCGAATAAGGTAACATATAATCTATATTATGAATTTTATTATTAAAATGAAAATTTATTAAAACGTGTCAAAATAAATGTAACCTATAAAATTTTCTATTTTTAATTTTAACTTTTTCTCTTAATAATTATGTTGTAAGCATAATTTATTGAATTATTTAGTGATAGTTTACTGTATAATTTCACTTCTACAATTTTAGTTGTAAATTTAATTAGAAATAAAATGAGAATTAATAAAATTATTAATTATATTTAAATTAAATTTTATCTCACCTAAACAGTAAAGTTAAAATTAATCTATATCTGTTTGCCTATTTCAACATAAGCAATTTGTTTTTTTTTTCTATCACTGATATATTGAATTTCTGCAATCAATAGTTCTGACATTATATCATTTCTAAGTTTTCCAGTCTTTCACGTTCATCATCTTATCATGTAACATTGCAACTAACAATAGAATAACTTGGGACAATAATTTAATTGTCTTAGCTTCACAAAATCGAATATTCTCCTTTGATATCTATAATATTAATTCACATACATATATGAATATGTACAAAAACGTAAAATACGAATTTGATTTTTTAAAGTATTTTTTCCATTTTTTATTGTTAAAATATAATAATCAAATTTTAAATAATAAAATGTATATATAAAACAAAAAATATAAATATAGAGGAGAGAATAAGTAATTTATTCGAAGTGTAGATTTATTATACAGAAAAATCAGGTACACAAGGATAAGAAAATACTGTTGCGGTACAAGAAGCAATAATTTTTTTTTTTTAACATAATTCTAAAATTGTGTAAATTCATGTGAATATTTTTCTTATATATATTAAAAAATTTAACACTTAATTAATTGTGTAACAGGAAATATTCTCAAAGTGTAATAATTAAATGTTTGGTTTATTTTTTTCTATATGGCAATTGAAATTATTTGTAAAATTTTTGTTTGGTTTTCTTTTTTTTTTCTTTGGCACTATTTGACATGCATAATGATCATTCTGTAAATATTATGGTGGATTATTCATTTTACCAATCATTTTTTAACGTATGTGTATACAATTCACATAATATCAATGCGTATTTTTATTCTAAATAATTTCAATTGTAAAAATAAATTTGTTTCTTATATACTTAAAAGTATAATAACATTAATTATAATATATATATATAACAGAGTAAATCTTTCAGATATATATTTTATATGAAAAGATATTTATAATTATATAGATTAATTTTTTAGTGTTTAATTATATAATTTAATTTACGAGAGTTATAAAAACTCAGTTCAGTCGTAATTTTTACAAAATAATTTTCAGTTTCTTGTGAAATGTGCAAAAAAAGAAAAATATATATTTTTTTTTTTTGAAACAAGTTTCACAGAATAATTACATATTAAGCCCTACGAGATTTTTTTTTAAAAAAGAATTTGATATTCTTTTTCTTTAAGATAAATTTTGATTCAAGTATATAACAGAGGAAATGTAATTTTTCTCGTAGATAATTTTTTTTTGTAACACACTGACATTTTGCGGTGAAACTTTTTTTTTTTTTTTTTTTTATATGCAGTTGGAACCTATAGTAAAGATAAAGTCTTGATCGGAAAATAAAATCACTTCCTTCTGAAACATGTCACTGCATTAAAGTAACAACGCCAATAAACTCGACCTTTTGCTTGTCCTCTGCGTTGAAGATCCATCTGAAAATTATTTTTTTTATTTTTAAAAATAAAATTTAATTATTTGATAAGAAAAAAATATTTATAAAAAATATTTTTTTATATTTACGTTTAAAATAAAATGAAAAATTGAGAAAAATTTACCTTTATTTTTAACTCAAATATATTATTTTCAAATGAAACATTTCTCTGCGGGTGTATATACCAAACATTATAACTAATAAAATTTTTTTTTTCTATAAACGTTTGAAAATTTATAAGTTTTCTTGATTTTAATATCGAATTTTGTGAATTTAAAAAAGAACTTTTTAACTTTTCGATTCATACCGTTTTTTCATCTGTCAGGGGAATATTTTGCCTGGTACTTTCCCTTAGTTGATTTCCAGACTTCACGTAATATTTCCCACTCGATCCTCCACCCACTGAATCTTCATTTTCAATAGCTTTTTGCAATGCAATCATCAGTCTGTCGAGCAAAAGTGCTGCTCTTTTCTGCATTGGTTTCTGTAAAAAAAAACAAAAAAAAAAAATAAAATAAACGAAAGAATTTGATTTTTGTTCAAATATTTCGGAACAAAAAGAGAGTTTTCAAAAATTTAAGTGAGCGCTTAAACCTTTTTTGCAATATTTTTTTTTTATACACTAGAATTTAATAAAATAATACAATCTATAATTATTATAGAATTGTAAACATTATTTATAAAAATAATAGGAAAAAATTTGAAACAATTTACTTCTTGTTTCTTAGAAATTTTTCAAACTTGTACCTTGTGTACTCGTAACTTCTTTAAATTCATATTTAATGAAATTTTACAACAAAAGTATAGTCAGACAAGTTCTTCATAAGCTTCTTGTTTATAAATCTTGTGCTGCTCGGAGAAAATCAGGAGAGAATTATAATCATCAATTATTTTTTTTACTTAACTTAAAAGAAAAAAATTATCGCAATGAAAATATATTGTTTTTTTTTTATATGATACTATATAAGAAATATTATTTGATTATTTGAAAAGAAATTATATGATATTATCACTATAAAAATACACACTAAAAAATGATGGATAAATACGCATATATATTTTTTTATTTTTTTAATATATTTTTTCAGATAAGAATCTTTTAGAAAATATTTTATTTCTTAATAGTAAACAATTTAGTTAATATATATTTGTTTAAACAAACTTTTTTGATTATTTTACTTTCTTCAAAGTAACAGTTTTTTTTATTGATTTTCAGATAAATGTAATATTTTACATTATAGAGATAATATTACTTTTTTTCAGTTTTATATAATTGAAATTATAGTTTCCAAATTTATTTTTTTAAATATTATTTTATATTTAATTTTTTTTTTATAATTTAATAATTATACAAATTTTACAATTAAATTATAATATTGTTTAAATGGTTTGTATATAATAATAATTATTACATTATAAAAAAGAATTGAGGTTTTGAAAGTTTATGTAATATGATTTATCGATTACTAAGGGAATCTCTTTTCATAATCCTTTGGACTTTATTTCTCAGTTTACAACCATTTAACTTTGTACTGTTTACCAGAGGAATGGAATTTTCATCAAAGAAGTATCTTTCTTAGACTGGAAAATATTTATTTTCATTTTGATAAAATGATTTTATGACGTGCTTGTATAATGGAAAAAAAATCCATTTCAAATTTCAAAAAGTTTTTTAAATTAAAAATAGGGGTTTATAATTATTTTAACTAAAATGATAAAAAAAATGTATCCTGTTAAAAAATTACTAAAACACAAAAAACAAAATATCCGAAAACAATTATTAGTCTTTAAATTTAGTTTTCGTTATATAAATATATTTTTATATGTAACTAGAATAAAAGAAAATTTTATTTATTGATTCATGGTAATGGGTTACTTGATTATTATCAAATAAATATTTATTTTAATCAAATATAATAACGTCGGTGAAGTTCCCGATTATGATCCAACGATTTAGAAGAGAAAATATTTTTCTATATATATTTTATTAGAAAATTTTTTGTTTGAAAAATTAATGCGACGTTCCTTGATGAACAGATTTTTAAATAAAAAATTTCTAAGCAAAAAATCTTTTATTTTTCGCGTAAAAAATATTTTTTATTTTTTAACATTAATCATAAACGTTGAAAAATATTTTAATATTATTTTTTGTAATTTAAAAATCAAATTTAATTTTTATGGTGAAAATCATAAATAAAAGGTCAAAAATTTGTAGTCTTTTTTGTTTACTGGATAAAATATGAAAAATTTTCAAAAAGTGCATAGAATATAAAAAAAATGTATTTCAATAAGATCTACAACTTTTGTTTAAAAGTGTTTTTTTAATTTTACATATTTTACCCAATATAAACGAAAAAACACAAAAACTGTTTGCCTACAAGCGGACCAGGCTCAAAATTTTTGTAAAAGAAAGAAGTTTTTTTGAAAATTCTTCACAAAAAAAAAAAAAAATTGAAGGATACTTTAGTTTTAACCCCTTCACTGTTATTGACCTCTATAGAGGCATAAAAATATCGTGCCACCAGTGTGTGTATGACCGCTATAGTAGCATCTAGAAAAAAATAAGTAGACACAATACGATAAACTTGTCAATGGGTATTCTTAGGTATGGTAACATCAAGTTTTTTTTTTTTTTAATTTTTTTTACCACATACGGGGCACGGAAGCTTTATTTCTGCTACACAGCGAAGGGGTTAAAAATAAAATTTTAATTTTTAAATTGCAAAAATATAGTAAATTATTTTTCTAGAATTTGTTTGCACCAATTTTTGAATAATTCACGTAAAAATACACAATTTTTAAAAACAAAACTTTAAAAATTGATGCGCATTTTAAAAGAAGTTATGAGCATTCAAAAATAAAAAAACATTAAAATTCTAAAATTTTGAAATAAATTCATATCTCGTAAATGGCTTGCCAAAAGAAAAGTTGAAAAAAATCATTATTAAAACGTCTCAATTAGTATACTAAAAGAAAAAAAAATTTCAAAAAATCGTAAATGTAAATGTAAAATGGTATCTGATTTGGCGTAAAATATAGATATATTATATGATCAGTGTGAGTTGATTTTATCAATAAATTAACCTACCCATGCTATTATTGATCCTGATAATTAATTGACCTTACTCATCTCTAGTAATGAAGAGTGGGTTTTGTAAGTCAATTATGATTTTAATACATTAAAAAAAAATTTATTTGATAATTTTTCTATTTAAATCAAACACGCATAGAAAAAGTTTGCTGTGACAGTAAATTTTAAAAAATTAAGACTAATATTATTAATATCACATTTTAAATATTATATTAATATTTTTATTTCGCAAATATAGTATTTTAAATAAATATATAAACAATGGTTTATTTTCAAACTGCATGTAAAGTTCATGTGTGGATTTTTCTTTTGCGGAGTCGATTTCCCAAAGGAGGGTTTCATGATCGTGGTTGAAGTGGGATCAAAGAAAAATAAAAAAAAACAAAAAAGAATCAATTCCTAGGAGATGTTTTTTATTCTCATTCCTGTTTTACAACGACCATTATTTCATTAAATGTCCTGTTGGTAAACGATATATATATATATTGCAATTGTAAGTCAATTAATAATAAAAATTTTATGATTGAAATTTTTCTCTGGCAAACGTCATATATAGAGTAGGAATAATATTATTTTTGATTTTGTTTCAATGCACTGAAAAATAAAAAAAAATTATTTGATTCAAATAATATCGATTACTTGAATATTATCAAATAAATATTTACTTGAATCAAATAATTTTTATTTCAATAAAATAAATTAGTTTTGAAATAAATACTATTTATTCGACTCAAATAATAATTATTTGATACAATTAAACATTTATTTGATAATTGTCAAGTAATCGATTTTTATAAATTTATATTAATCGTTTCAATAAGAATTTATTGAAAAGAGAAGATATATAATTTTATGACAATTGAAAGAGTATAAAAAAATCATTTAGGTTATATTTTTATCGTTTTCGTTAACATTCAACATAATAAAAAATTTATTAAATTGCGATTTTTATTGTATCGCAAAGTTTTAAAATTTAATGCCTGACAGTACGATTTTTAATTTTGATTGACTTTTTTTATATTATTTCAAAAAAGAAAAAAAAATTGTACAAAATTTGAATATAAATTTTATATTTATAAAAGTTAAAATATTTTAAAAATTTTTATTTATTAATACATTTACGAGAAAATTGGTCGACAAATTAAAAATGGTGTTAAGATTTATTTTCAAAGTAATTATAATATTGTGGAAATTTTAAATATTTATTATTGCGGGAAAAACACAATGTTTTATCATGAAAAAAGCATAATGTCATATGTCTGACTTTTCTTAGTTTCTACTACTATTACTTATTTCATCGTCTGACTATTAACATTGTACTTCTACTGTTACTTTTCTTATATGCATTTAGATATACCGATGTATACATTGAAATGAACAATTTTTCTTTAAATAAAATTTTTTTAAATTTAATAATTATATAATTGATATATGTATATAGTAATAATGTTTATTGTTTTTTTTATATTATAAAAAATTTATATATATAAAAAACAATTAAAACTTTTACTACAATTACAAAAATCCTAAAAATTAACATAAAGATTTTTTTAAAATAAATACTTCAAAAGATCGTGTTTTAAACCATTTTTTATTTTTAAAAGGTAAATAATTTTGGATAAAATCTCAATGTAGTAGGTACAATAAAAAAAATTTATTTGACTCAAATAATCAGTTATTTGACTATTATCAAATAAATTATAAATATTTATTAGTATTACATAATTATCATTTCTGTCAATTAAATAGTATTTGTTTCAAAAATCAAATACATAAATTATTATTGTTTTAAATACAATTTATTTAATTAACATGAAAATTATTTGTTTCATGTAAATATTTATTTATTTCTAAATGTAAAATTTTTAACTAGTTTGAATTAGTGACTCACCTTTTGCTTTTGAATCAGTTAAATTTTACTAAATCGATAGTAAAAAAATTTTTTTTTTTACTAATTAGTATTTAAATTTAGAAAGTATGCGAAATTAGAAAGTGTTTTGAGATTAGTATACATTTTATAGATATCTATAAGAAAATGAAATTGATTTTTTTTCAATCGATATAGGTATTTTTTTTTGCTGCACGCGCAGCATTGAGATAAAACTTTTTCTTGAATATCAATCTTCGTTATATTTGAGATACTCATTTTTTGTTGTCTTATAAAATGAATAACCTATACATATTTTCTCGTATTTGCTTTTATTTGAAAAGTGTACCTATAGAATTTATTTTATATAGTCTACGTTTGATTGTCAAAAAGTTTTAGAAATCGTAGTATTAGTATGTGATTAATCGCGCAAAAAAGCTTTAGCTCTCACTAAAACAAACAAAAAAACTTTTCAGTCACATGGATAAAATATATAAAAACTGTTGCGAAGGCTTTTTTAACATTAATGTAAAGTTTGGTTTTTTTTTTTTTGCATAATCATGGATAAAATATATTATATGCTTCAACGTTGATGACATTATAATAACTGCATTTCATATACCACAAAAATTTTTTTTAAATCAAATTTTTAATTAACATAATTTATGTTTAATCGAATTTTTATACATATAAAGCATATAAGTATATTACTTGACTATTATCAAATAAATATTTACTTGAACCAAATAATTTTTATTTGAATTAAATAAATTGTATTTAGACAAATAATTTCTGTTTTTAAAACAAAATACCATTTAATTAACTCAAATAATAATTATTTAATAATTTTAATAATAATTTAATAATAATTTATTTAATAATAAATTGAATTTCTTGTGTTAAATTTGCAAGCGAGTTATAAGCAATAATATATTGTTAAACTTTTTTTTATGTCTTAATTCAAAATTGTATAAGAATAAAATTAGATTATTAAAATTAAAATAAAAAGTTTAAATAAGTAATAACATATACATAAGATTCGATTGACGTATAATGACGTAAGAAAAAATTTTATCAATATTATTCTGATCATAAAACAACATAATACAATTTCTTAATCTGATTGTAGTTTTCTATTTTATTTATATATATTTATTTACATACATCTATATCAAATCACATCTATAAAGAAATATCAGAAAAAAATGTAGTGTATTTTTAACACATGTTCTCTCATATATAATTTAGAAATCGATAATTCAACAATGACACAATTCAATATAATTTTATTAATAAAACAGAATTTTGTCTAACAATATATATTTACAACAACAAATCTAGAGACATATGATTTTAATCTTTTATATATATATATATATATATATATATATATATATATATATATATATATATATATATATATATATATAAATTAATTTCTAAAAATTCAAATTTCATTAAAAAATTTAATATTAATATTATTATTTATATTTAATATGTTTTTATAGGTTGTCAATCATAACGGAGATTGCGAAAGATTTTGGAAGTAATCACTGTCGAGGTTTACCGTTTGCAGGCAATTTCTGGAAAAGAGATTTAATGTGCGAGGGCGTATGGAAATTCGCAGTGAGTAAACACCATCCAATGCTTATCGGATATTAATCAACTATGTTTCGATCAATTTGCAGTTATCGTTTAAAAATTAGTCTCTATCACACATGGATATTACCGCGATAATTAACTAATTGTGTCATATCCGACAAATAGCTTTACAGTGGGTGTGCCCTATTTAATATATATGGGCAAATCCACGAAACTTTTAATTTTTGTGATTCTCGAATCGAACACTTAAAAATCTGAATTATTTTTAATTAAAACTTTGGGTATCATTTTTTTTTTGCTAAATTATATACAAAGGAACATTTTTGTACAGTATTAGAACAAAATATTTATTTGATAATTAGTTTTATAAGTTAAAAAGTGAAAAAATGCTTAAATTTCATTTGAATTTCTTGAAAAAGTTTATATTCTTAATGTTTTTATTTTTGCGGCGTGTAAAATATCACTTCAGCTACTATGGAAATATCTAGCAAACATATTTTGTCAAAAAATTTTCACTATCCTATTAGTGTGCCACTACTAAAACTAAAAATACGAAGGTTTGATTCAGTGATAGCACTTTTTAAAAAAATTCAATTGAACGTCTTCTTATGAAAATATCTATTACGGCGTTGGATAAAAATAAAAGTTCAATGCATTTATTAAAAGGTGATGAAAAAACAACAATTTTAAGACCTTTTTTAATGATGTGCCTCTAATTGTATTCCTGTGGCAACAATTTAAAGATGATAATAAAAATCGTGATTTAATTTAAATTTATACATTTTTGAAAGGCACAACTGCATTTTTGCCTTAAACAGGTCAATCTATGGTATGATAGAAACATTTTCATACATATATTTGAACACAAAAACACCGCTTAAGGATTTTGAGTGAAATAAATTTTATTAAGTTAAGAATATGCTGAAAACACTTTTTTGGAGTCTTTATCCCCTCTTTTCTCAAAAATCCTGACATGCTAAGCAAATTTGGGTGCCAGAATCGTGTTCAGAGGACGAAAATACTTTGAAAACCACTCCGATATCAAAAATAAAAAAAGTTGAATTTTTCAATTTTATATGTAATTTATTAACATTAAAGAGTTTAAAGAGTTAAACATTGACAGCGTGAGCTAAAAATGAATCACACATATGAATTTGTAGTGCTAAAATGTACTTAAACATGTATACAAAGTGACATCAATGTGCCTGCAAATTAAAAAAAGAAATTTTTTTTTCTTGAAAGTTAAAAGTTTCGTGGATTTGCCCATATATATGCTATAGGTACTTAAAAAATTTCTTTATATACGAAACTGAAGTACGCAACGTTTATGATAAACGATTTTTAAAGAAATAATTTTTTAAAATGAAAAATTCTATAATTTTTTTCTTAAAAAATATTTCTTATAGTTTTCATTAATCAACAAATTATAAAAAAATATTTTATAGGCAAAAAATTATAGAATTTTTCATTTTAAAAAATTATTTTTTTAAAAATTGTTTATCATAAACGTTGCGTACTTCAGCTTCGTAAATATTTGAAAGTAACTTTTAAATTTTATTATAAAAATCAGATTTTTTATTTTACTAAAATTAATTAATATTTAGGTATATTAAGTTGGCGCAACCACATTATTGAAAGTACTTTTTACCTATGCCATAATTAAGTGCTCATTTAGTGCTAATTTAATGCCAAAAGCACAAATTTAATGCTGTACATTTTTTTAAAAAAAACCGTGGTGGCGCCAGCTTAACGTTAAGGTAGCGCCACCACATAAAAAAAAAGCTGCAAAAAATTTTCTTATTGATACCATAATTTAGTGCTCATTTAGTGCTCTCAAAATATTATGCTCTTAATTAAAAATATGAGATTTTAAATGTTAGATTTGTCCAAAATCAAGTTTCAGACAAAAACAAGTTTAACTACTTACATTTTTTTAATTTAAAAATTTACAAATTAATCGATTGACTTGATACCAGTTACACGGGGGTTTTCGGGGTCGCTGATTAGGAATCCGGTATCATTTTATCAAAAATTAAAATGGCGGAACCAATATGGCGGATGAAAAAATTAAAAATTGACCGAATACGTTTGAAACTCGTTACTTGGAAGTTTTCTGGGTCGCTCATTACGAATCCGATGTTAAATTTTTTACGAATAAAAATTTTGAAATTAAAAAAAGATATAAACTCATCCTCTTTGCACAAAGAAAGACTTCTACTTGTGGAGCAAAAAATTTAAAATGGAGAAAAATTTATTGGCAAAAAATCTCCATTCTCTCTTTAGGGGATGGGAGTGATCATTGTTAAATTAAAAAATTTGATTTTCTTTTCATTTTGAATTTTTTAGGACACAAGTAGCAACCTTTTCATCTGTAGAGAGGAGAAGTTTAAATCTTAATTTTTATTGGCAAAAAAAATTATTAGTAATACTAATTACTTTTTACCTATACCATAATTAAATGCTCATTTAGTGCATTTTAATGCGAACAGCACAAATTTAATGGTGTACATTTAAAAAAAAAAATCATGGTGGCGCCAGCTTAACGTTAAGGTAGCGCCAACACATAGAAAAAATCTCTAAAAAGTTTTCTTATTTATGCCATAATTTAGTGCTCATTGAGTGCTAATTTAATGCCAAAAGCACAAATTTAATGCTGGACCCAGAGAATAGATAACTTTGATTTAAAGAAATCAGTTTCTTTGCTTGTTTTATTTCATTCAAAATAAAATTTTCTTTGAAACAAAAAAAGCTTATTACTTTCAAAGAAAGTTTTCTTATTTATGCCATAATTTAGTTCTCATTGAGTGCTAATTTAATGCCAAAAGCACAAATTTGATGCTGCACCCAGAGAATATATTACTTTGATTTAAAGAAATCAGTTTCTTTGACTTGTTTTATTTCATTCAAAATAAAATTTTCTTTGAAACAAAAAAAAATTATTAGTTTCAAAGAAAATTGTGCTTTAAATCAAAGAAATTCTAACATTGATATAAAGTCATGGAAACACTTATTTGAATTAAATAAAAAATTTCTTTTAACGAAGATAAGTTTTTTTAATCACAGAAAATTTGTTTGAAACAAATAAATTTTCTTTGAAGCAAAGAAATATTTCTCAAAGGAATTGATTTCTTTAATTCAAAGATATCCTTTTTCTAGGTCCGTTAACCTGGCTTGTCCACATTGTCCGATCTGGATAAAACCTATTTGAAAATTAAGGGCTAATTTAAGGCTAATTTAATGCCCTAATGCCGATTTTAATGCTCGGCATTTTCTTTAAAAAACTTGTGGACAAGCTAGCTTAACATTAAGGTGGCTTGTCCACACAATGAAGGAGCACTCGTAGGAAGGCCTACTATAGGTCAAAATTTAGGGCTTTTTTAAGGCTCCGCAATGCTCTATTGACGAATTTAATGCCGGCATAATTTCGCCAAATATTTGCAAAAATTTAATTTTTACTTGATATCAGTTTGTCCACACAATGAAGGAGCACTCACAGGAAAGTCTACTGTAGGTCAAAATTTAGGGCTTTTTTAAGGCTCTTGAATGCTCTATTGTCGAATTTAATGCCGGCATTATTTTGCGAATTATTTGCAAAAATTCAATTTTTACGTTATCTCAGTTTGTCCACATCATGAAGGAACACTCGTAGAAAGGTCTACTGTAGGTCAAAATTTATGGCTTTTTTAAGGCTCCTCAATGCTCTATTGTCGAATTTAATGCCGGCATGATTTCGCAAATTATTTGCAAAAATTCAATTTTTACGTTATCTAAGTTTGTCCACATCATGAAGGAACACTCGTAGAAAGGTCTACGATGGATCAAAATTTAGGGCTTTTTTAAGGCTCCGCAATGCTCTATTGCCGAATTTAATGCCGGCATTATTTCACGAATTATTTGCAAAAATTTATGTTTTACGTTATCTCAGTCCACATCATGAAGGAACACTCTTAGAAAGGTCTACTATGGATCAAAATTTAGGGTTTTTTAAGGCTCCGCAATTCTCTATTGACGAATTTAATGCCGGCATAATTTCGCCAAATATTTGCAAAAATTTAATTTTTACTTGATATCAGTTTGTCCACACAATGAAGGAGCACTCACAGGAAAGTCTACTGTAGGTCAAAATTTAGGGCTTTTTTAAGGCTCCTTAATGCTCTATTGCCAAATTTAGTGCCGGCATAATTTCGCGAAATTATTGCAAAAATTCAAATTTATCGCTATATTAGTTTGTCCACACATTGAAGGAGTACTCTTAGGAAGGTCTTCTAGGTGTCAAAATTTAGGGCTTATTTAAAACTCTAAAATGCTTTTATGCCAAATTTAACACTATCTTAGCAAGTCTAAACGATTTTTTTTTAAATAAGCACTTAAGAATTACTTGCTTATTTATTGCTCGTAAATAGCACTGTATTGGCTGTTTAAAAATGATCTACCAATCCTAAAAACTACCCCCGACTCATTCAAAAATTTATTTTTGAATTTTTTTATAGAAAATAACGATTTTTTTATAAACAAATTATTTTTTTTAACTTTAGACCCGTTGTTTTACTTTTTTTATATTTAGATACATGGAAATACTACTAAAATACTTTGTAAAATGTTTTACTGATAACCTGATTACCCTTTTTGGATGACTACTCGAAATTTTTTTTTGCAAAATATTCTTACTATTTTCAGGTATGTAAAAATAAAAAAAAGTAAAAATAATAGCTTTCACAGTTTAAAAAAATTAATTTGTTTATTAAAAATCGTTATTTTCGATAAAAAAATGTAAAAGAAATTTTTGAACTACTGAGGCGAAGTTTTTGAAGTTGGTGGATCGTTTTTGAAAATGCAATTTAGTGCTTTAATAATGAGCCTTAAATTAGCCCTATATTCCAAAGTACTTGTTTTTTGTAAAAACTGAGTTTGAAGTACTCAGGGGTAGTTTTTGAAATTGGTGGATCATTTTTGAACATCTAATTTAGTGCTATTTAAGAACCCTAAATTAGCCCTAAATTTCTAATTACTTGATTTTGAAAAAA